GCTCATGATGCCTGCCCGCATGCCCATACTAGGCCTAAACACCCAAAACACCTCAACCGATACTCGTGCCGGGCCCGCATAACCCTATGAAAGCCTAAACTGTAACACCCCAACAGCCTAAACCCTAAACCGTAAAACCTAAAACCCAAAAACCCTACACCAGAATACTCATCTTAATACAAATTGATAAAAAAAACACTAACACCATGTGTAACACCACAAACTCTAAACCCTGAAAAACGTAAACTGCACGTGCCGGGCGCACGTAACCCTAAACCCTAAAACCCTGCAGAACCTCAAACTCGTAAACGCTAAAAACCATAAATCCTGTATTACAAATACAAATCCTGACTGTACTAACTGTCGAACATTATGCGCGTCCGGCATGTTCGGTTTACGGGTTTACGGTTTGTCCCAAGCCTAAACCCTAGACAGGAAAACCCCAAACCCTAACCCTAAAAACCCTAAACCCTCTAATACTCAAACTGAATACTATGATTAATATTAACACTAATACACAATACTACTCACTACAAACTCTAAACCCTACCCCGAAACCCGTTAACCGCACGCGCCGGGAGCGCATGCCCCTAAACCCTAAACCCGAAAACCCGTGAAACTGCAAAGCCTTAAAACTTAAACCCTAAAAGCCATAAACCCCAAAATACTGAAACTAACTGTAACTATATACCGCATAACCCCAACAAAGTAAACTTTAAACAGTAAAACACCAAAAACCCTTAAAAAACTAAACTCTCTAGTACTCAAACTAAATACGATGATCAGTATTAGCACTTTAAATTAACACTAATACAAATTCCTACTCACTACAAACCCTAAACCCTACCCCGAAACCCGTCAAACGCACAGGCCGGGCGCGCATTACCCTAAACCCTAAACCGTATACCCCCAACAGCCTAAACCCTAAACAATAAAACCCCAAACCCCTGAAAACCCTAAACCATGCTGATACTAATACAAATTACTACTCGCTACAACCCTAAACCCTACCCCGAAACTCGCAAACCGCGTGCGCCGGGCGCCCGTGCCCCTAAACCCTAAAACCCGCTGAACTATAAATCCCCATACCTTAAACCCTAAAGGCCATTAATCAAACAATACTAATGCCAATCACAGAAGCACTAACAACAAACCCAAATCCCCAACCAGAAACCCGAAAACCACACGCCCCGGGCACACAAAACCCTAAACCCTAAACCACAAAACCCCAAACAACCGAAACCCTAAACCCCAAACCGCAAAACACCGAACCCTAATCAAACACTGAAAACCCAACACCTCGAGTTTTAACTACTAACTACAAACCCCAAACCCTAAGACGTAAAACCCTAAAACTCAAAACCGTAAAACCCCAAACCCTAAACTGTAAGACCCCAACACCCTCAACCCTATACCCAAAACCGTGAAACACCAAACCCTAAACCCCAAAATATCCCAAACCCTGAACCGTAACCCTAAAACCCAAGCCCTTAAAGCCCAAACCCTATAAGACCAATACGAATATGACACGAATACTACTCCTAAATCGAACTACTACCTACTGACTACAAACCCCAAACACTAAACCCGTAAACCACACGGCGCATGTAACTCTAAACCTTTAACCCTAAACTGCAAAACCCCAAAAACCCAACAGAGGGGAGGGTAAACCTGGTAATCTTGGTGATCTTGATTGGTCTGGTATGTCAGAGGCGTGCTACAAGTTTGCAAGATTATAAGCTTACCGTATCTCTATCCCCGCCTAGCAAATAAATACCCCAAACCTAGATGACCAAGATTATCAGACTGGCAAGATTGCCCCCCCTGGCCAACCAAGATTTCAAGACTAGCCCACCAAGATGACCTAGCGAAATTAGGTAGATGAGCAGGATTAGAAATGTCTTTCAAAGCACGACGATAAGTTACCGCTACTACTACTCCTGCTACTACTCCCACTACTCCTACTACTCCTACTACTCCTACTACTACTACTACTCCTACTGCTACTGCTACTGCTACTGCTACTGCTACTGCTACTGCTAGTACTACTGCTACTACTACTGCTAGTAGTAGTAGTAGTAGTAGCAGTAGTAGTAGCAGTAGCAGTAGCAGTAGCAGTAGCAGTAGCAGTAGCAGTAGCAGTAGCAGCTGACAAAACAGCAAGGCAGCAGAGAGGCTTCGGAAGAAGAATGGCTCACTCGGTCACTACACTTTTCCTTCGTACGGGCAGCTTGAGGCTCAAGGGGCCCCTTGCGGATCAGAGGACTGAAGCCTTGCTGGCACTGCGCAATTCACAGCACCATAAAAACTCTCTTAGGCTTCAGTCACCTCGGCTTGACTTTACCGGCTGCTCGGAGTTCCGCCCTTTCACAGAGCTGATCTTCCTCCGCCGTGATCTTGTAGAAGCCGGTATCCAGCAAGTTGAAAAGAGCTTGCTGATTCGCGCCGATCTTGGTCAAGGCGTCCACTATCATGGACTGATGCTCGACCCAACGGATTTGGGTCCCAAGGCCATCTGCCCTTTCACGTGCTATGGCCACCTCCAGCGCTGTGTACTTGTCGGCTGCCTGAGCTCCCTCCTTTGTCATGTTGTCGTAGACGCTCTTGGCGTCAACCACAGAGAGACTCTCGCGGAGCTTCTTGTCGCCGTCAGACTTCTGGAGGACAATCTCGGACTGCTTCTTGACCTCTGCCATGAAGGACTGCAAGTCGAAGTTCTCGTTCAGGAGGTCTTCCCACAAGGCTTTGGTCCACATGAGCTCTGCCAGGCCGCGGTTCAAGGCCTGCGTCTCCGCCGCAAGGGTAGAGGGTACCTTGCGCTTCAACTTCCCGCTTTTCCACCACAGCAACGAGCAACGCGCTCGCTCACCGCTCACCAGTGACACGTCGTAGGCCAAAACGCCCACCGCTCCTTGCGAGGAGCCGTCGTCGTAGTTGTCAAAGGAGGCGTCGGTGGCAACGCCGAAACGAAGTCGTTCCAGTTCAATCGGGAAGTAGCTCATGGTCATATCTGGCCGCTCCTTGACTTCCTTGATCGCCTTGTTGAGCGCAACCAGGTCTTTGACTTTAAGCCGCTTCATCCGAGAGGCCATGATGGATGCCGTAGCGGCAGCATCAGGCCTGCCCTCCTTAGCAGCCCAAGCAAGAGAGCCGATAGCGGCTCTGGCTGCTCGACACTCACGCTCGGTAGCCTCTTCATCGGGCTTGCTTTTGCGACCTTTCTCCAGTCTCATTTCCTCAAGACGCTCTTCGACGAATTTCATCATGTCGGTGTGCACAGTGAAGTCTTGATCTTGTCGAATACGGCGCCCGTTGAAGGAAGTGCCTTGAGGAAGGTCTTGCAGCCAAAGGAACTTGCCGATGTCCCTTGCCGTGGCCGGATGCCGACAGGCGTGGTCCAAAGGACTTGCCCTTGCCCTTGGGGTAAAAGCCGCGTCCGTTCCTGACATGGCGCATGCTGTCCCGAATGTCCTGGTAGCTAGCCAGGATCTCCAGGAGGTCGTCTTCCTCGATCACCTCCTCCAGCATGTCGCCGTGGCCTGGGTCCTCGTAGTAGTTCTCTGCTTCGTCGGCTCCATAATAGGCTTGCTCGGCATAGTCCTCGTAGGTGTGGTCCTCCTGGTCGGCATAGTCCTCTTCGTAATTCTCGTCGCCCTCGGCGTCCTCATAAAATGCCTGCATGCCCTTCTTGGTGCCCTCCTGCATAGCGCGGTCCAGTCGGCGAAGGTTCGCCGTCACCACATCCAAGGAGAAGTCGCCAGCCAGCCAGGTCAGCAAGCGCGCGTCCAGCTCCTTATCCAAGTTCGACTGGCGATACAAGAGGTAGCCCTTTGCCTTGACAGGTAGCTCAACTCCTTCATCTCTCAAGCTTGCTTGCGCCTGCGAAAACCTGACAAGGTACTCGGCAATGGTCTCCTTGTGGCTGCGCGGTTGTCCATAGAGCGCTGCCTCCATAGCACGGGGAAGGGAGGTTTCCTGATATGGTTGAAAGGCTTCCTTCAAAGTCTTCACCACAGTCTTGACCCCGTCGTCGGCTATCAAGGCAGACACTTCCAAGGACCTAACGGCTTCCCTCGCTGCGCCCGTCAGGGCCTGAACCAACTTCGGTCCACGCTTGTTTGCAGGAAGATCCGAGATGACTTCCCACAGCTCCAAGTCCTTGAGGAAAGGCTTAAGCGTTGCTTCTGGCCTTTCTCCATTCCACGACGGTGGTGGGTCACGATCGCGATAGAAGCCAGTAGTGGCCTCAGTGCCCGTCGCCTGAGTCATTCCAGGCCACAGGGAGCAGCAAAGCCCAAAGTCACGGCCCGCAGCTCCAAGTAAAGCGTCTCCTTCTCAGCAGCACTCGCCACTGCCTCCAAACCGCAAGAGTGCACAGATTGCCTGTCTCCTGGGCTCGACCAAAGGTCCTGATCGTAAGGCTCCGGTGCCAACTGACAAAACAGCAAGGCAGCAGAGAGGCTTCGGAAGAAGAATGGCTCACTCGGTCACTACACTTTTCCTTCGTACGGGCAGCTTGAGGCTCAAGGGGCCCCTGCGGATCAGAGGACTGAAGCCTAGCTGGCACTGCGCAATTCACAGTAGTAGTAGTAGTAGTAGTAGTAGTAGTAGTAGTAGTAGTAGCACTCGTAGTAGTAGTAGTAGTAGTAGTAGTAGTAGTAGTAGTAGTAGTAGTAGTAGTAGTAGTAGTAGTAGTAGTTACTGCCAAGTACTACTACTAATACTACCCCTCCTCTGACTTTTACTCCTACTCCTACCAGTACTGCTCCTACGGCTAAGGCGACGGCGACAACGGCGACGGCTACAACCACGACCAGGACCACCAGCTCTATCACCGGCACCACCACCGCCGCTACGTCCACCGCTACCACCACTACCATTGCTACGACGACAGCTGCCTTCTATCACTACTTCCCCACCCTTAAAACCGACATCCGAGGAAGCACCTACCAATACGACCAGAGGGTGGCTGTCAAAGGAATGCTTGCGCATTGACGAGCCTTTGGCGGTTGCTTCACGAGCAGCCCGAGAGCCTTGCAAGAAGTTTGCAAGCCCTTGAACCGTCCAAGTCTTTAGCGCTTCTGTGCCTTGAAGACGCGAATGAAAAAGCTGCACTTGGTACTTCGAACCTCGCAACCAGCATGTAGCCGGAAGCTACCCTGGTATGCTGCAGGCATTCGGGGAGCTTGCACGGAGATCCGTCGTCATGGAAGAGACCTGCAGCCTTGCAGCGAAGGAATCATATCAGCGATCAGCGCGCTCGTAGGCATAGATGCTGCAGGTTGCGATAGGCCTCTTCCTCCTCCGCAGCCTGCAGATCTCTTCCCTGATCATCCTCAGAAGGTCTGGGTATCTGCGACGGCTTAGAGTCTCCAGTCCGAGCCCCGGTGCTAGCACTCTGATGATGAACTGCAACATATCCTCGACCTGCGTCAGTCGTAGAGTATGAGTAGATGGCCTGATTCGGACTACTCACCTTCTCCCAAATCCTCTCCATCTCGCTGACTTCGCAGCCTACAGCAAGAAGCAATGTCGCTAGCCCGCGCACGGTAGAACAGCAACTTGGGCACTGGCAGGTCCGTGCGCGGAAGTATCCCGGGCATGTGAACTCCTGTTCTGGTGGTGCTATGCCGGACACTGGTAGAGTCAACATCCGGCTTGGGCTTCGGCATCTGTTCCCGGCGTGGCTGACTCCACGGTGAGGGCAGAGTATCTTGGAGTGTATACCGAACTGTCGACCTCCGCTCCCTGTAGCATCCCCACACCTATGGATACCTGAACAACAGCAAGTAAAACCTCTTTTGAACTTGACATCGTCATAGTCCAAGTTCTTCTACGAAAACAAGCACGATCACGATTGCAAGCACACTGGGCACAAGACGTGCAGTGGAGTCCAACCTCTGCAAGCTCCCAGCTTCTGGAAGCTGCAGACAATAAAATGGGTGCTTGCTATCAGCTCAGAATCTCAGAACTCGCTTGGTCACGGAAGCTGCTGCAAAAAGTATGACCCTGCGGGCTGGATCCTGCTGGCCGCCTGAAGCAAACAAAACTGAATTGCTCTCATTCCCTCAGTGTCAAGCTGGCAGCACGTCGGCTTTTGCGAACCCCAGCACCTCACGATGCAGTTCCACTGGTGTTTGCGAAGATTAAGGCGCTGCATGAACAGCAGCGCATCTAGGTTTAAGCAATCCCTCCCCGCCGATGCCACGAGCTTGGCAAGTGCAGCTTTCCGCGGCATCGCCACGGAAGCACGCGATGGATGCTTTGGGTGCGCACCACCATGGCAAAGGCTCGCTCCAAGTAGCAACGAGTGTCTTGCAACATGCTGGTCTTCATGGGAGAACTTGCTACCCACGTGGGCAGAAGCCCTGGTTCATGCACCGTGACGCTGTTAAGCCTCGATAGTGTCAACAGTCAACAATCTCGTCCCTTATCCCTCCTGCTTGAGGCTTTCGCTACCGGACCGAACGTGCCACCACTCTCGTGAGCCGTCTCCGTAGCAGGCAGAAAAGCTTGCCAGATCTCCAAGTTTGTCAGCATTGGCGCATCGATGCCAATGTCTGCCGCGCCGACATTGTCATTAGCATAAGGTACCATGCTCACCCCGAAAGTGGCAAGGAGATGCTCACTATGCTATGGGCAGCAACGGGACCTGTAGATTCAGCGCCTCAGGCACTGTGCTGAGGAAAGCACCGTGTGCGAGCTGCGCAAGCAAGAACTAGCAAGCAGTGGCAAGCACCGGCAGCCGTACTACGGGTCCGTAATTCCCAGGTGTGAGCTCTGCTTGAAGCTCTCACTGAGGTGGTCCCTGTCCGCCCGCTGGCCTCTGTGCCTGTCCTCAGCAACTCGATTCGAGAACACCGTCCACTTGCGTCTGCGTCTCCTTCACTCGTGTCTTCTACATGTCTGCTGAGTCATGCACGCATCTGGTACATCTTCAGCTTCTGCTGGTAGAGCCGATTTTGTAGTTGCTGCGGTGCGGCAGGGGCGGACATAATCAAAGGGAGAGGATGCAGTCACAGGAGGCACAGGTGGCGAGGTGCGACCTCCTGCATCTGCCTCTGCTTGAACTCCATGATCAAAGTACTAGCCTGCCGAAGGAGCAAGGGCATACAGATATCGCATCCTTCGAGGGATGGCCCTGCTTGCGTGATCTTGCGTGCTTGTGGTAGCTTGAAGTATCCCTGCCTGGTGCTCGAGCTGGGACTTCTGCTGGAATGCAGCCTCTGTGTCCCATGCAAAGGCTCTAGAAGTAGTCTAGTGCCGTGTGCCGCGACTCTTCCTGCCTGTTGAAGCTGCATAATCTGCTGGTGGCACTGCTCATCCAGGTCAAACTCCTGCAGCCAAGTCAAACGCGGAAGCAACCTCTGTGATCATTCAACCACATCCTGTTGTAGAAGCTGCTCTTCTAGCTCCATCGTGTACCTTCCGTAGGTTCCACATGGTCTTGCAGCAAGCTGCGTGCGGATAGTCTTGCGTGCGACACGTGCAGGTGCGCGTTCTTTTCCGCATTGCTGCCATCCCAACCCGAACGTGCAGGAGCACTTCATCTTCTTCTCTTCCGCGGCGTTGCGCAGAATGTCCAGGGCTTGATCTCAGCAGCATCCCATTGCATCCCCCCTTCCCAAATTCCAGGCACATTCTGCGCCCAGCTGTAGCAACAGGGCTGCAGCTCTTCTGCTCGTTGATCGTGCGAGTGCCCGATTCGAGCTGCTGGTCAAGGGCCCTGGCCTCAATCGTAGTAAACATTCCAGGTAGGCTATCATGACCTGCGCTTGCTATCACTTAGGCTCGTTCGTAAGCCTGCTTCTGATTCTCAATCGAAGCTGGCGTGGGCCTCAGTCTGACTTCAATAGACTCTGCTCCACGCCTCGGCGGGGTCTCGGTCTCAGCAACCCACATGTTGTCTGTCTGTCGCTTTGGCGGGGGACCAAGATCCTTGCCAAGCACGACAACGCCACCAGAAAAAACCAAGTTCACCGAGAGCCGAGCATCTCCCGTCGGCAGTGGAGGTGCCTGGTCACGGGTGCCACGGGTGCCACTAATCCACAGTAGACCTGTGAACCAGGATCCAGAAGCTTTGACTACCACCCTCTTGCCTGCCACTGCGGCGGAGTTGGCAGCGCAAACTGCCTCGGACAGGTGGGCGTTTCATGCTATTAGCAAGCTTGAGACGTCTATGCCCGCCGTGCTACGCTTGTGGCTGCTGGTAGGCAGCAGGAGCGGCTGGACATTGCAGCATACCTGACAAAGACGCTTGTCCAAGTCCCTTCACGGCCATGCATGGATGTCCAATGATGTCCACAATATAAGACCATGCAAGCCAATGTCAAATCTGAGGCAGTCTCCGGTGTGTTGGCCTCTGTTGCCAGGGTCTAGGCTGAGCCCGAGCCCCCTCGAAGGCTGCAGAAAGAACTGCTGCAAACGAGTTTCAATACACCTGGCGAAACTAAAGATCCGTTGCTGGTTCACTCAACAACAGGAATTCACTTGCAGGGGTAGCATTGATCTCCAACAGCATGCCGATCTGCGCACATCAGAGCTGCATGCATCTTTTTCGTTCTTTAGTCGCATTAGCACTAGTCGTCCATGGGCGTTTCGTTAGCATAAGCAATACAGCCTGAGGTGGATTGCAGGAGATAAAAAACCGTTCTTGCCGTCAAAGCTTCTTGCTGCGTGGAATCGCATCTCTGCGTCTGCAACACTTGCACGCACTCGCGTTTGCACGAGCCCGGCACTCCAGTTGTAAGCTCTGCTTGAAGCTCTCACTGAGGTCCCTGTCCGACCGCTGGCCGCTGAGCCTGTCCTCAGCAACTCGATTCGAGAACACTCCAGATACCTGTTCGACCTCAGGAAGAGAAGACCGATTGCAGCACGGGGGTTTCAATTCGCACATCAACCACCGATTCACACACTTGGCAGCAGATTCATGTTGTACGGCAGATTCGCACACTGACGTGGCGGATTCCTTAACTCTACAGACATTCGTCCACTGGGGATATCTTATGTTCGCGCCGAATAAGTGGCCCAAACCCGAAACCCGAAAAGACCGGACACCATACCAACCTCAAGCCCCAAGAAAAACAATCCCGAACTTAAATCCAAAACCCTAAGCACCCTGAATACTCGACTCAAAACCGTAGACCCGAAAAGCACTTCGCAAAACCCTAACCCTTAAAATCCCAGACCCTGAAACCTCGAATCCTTAGCCTAAATCCCAATGATGTTAAACCCTACAAGCAGCAAGTACCTCAAACTCACTTGAATCGCACGTGCTTGGATTGCGAGCAGCTGGACTCGCCAGTTGTTTAAACGAGATCGAACCGCGACCGGAGCTCGAATCGCACGTTGACGCCTGTCGACCACTCATGTCTTCTAAATGTCTGCTGAGTCATGCACGCATCTGGTACATCTTCAGCTTCTGCTGGTAGAGCCGATTTTGTAGTTGCTGCGGTGCGGCAGGGGCAGACATAATCAAAGGGAGAGGATGCAGTCACAGGAGGCACAGGTGGCGAGGTGCGACCTCCTGCATCTGCCTCTGCTTGAACTCCATGATCAAAGTACTAGCCTGCCGAAGGAGCAAGGGCATACAGATATCGCATCCTTCGAGGGATGGCCCTGCTTGCGTCATCTTGCGTGCTTGAGGTAGCTTGAAGTATCCCTGCCTGGTGCTCGAGCTGGGACTTCTGCTGGAATGCAGCCTCTGTGTCCCATGCAAAGGCTCTAGAAGTAGTCTAGTGCCGTGTGCCGCGACTCTTCCTGCCTGTTGAAGCTGCATAATCTGCTGGTGGCACTGCTCATCCAGGTCAAACTCCTGCAGCCAAGTCAAACGCGGAAGCAACCTCTGTGATCATTCAACCACATCCTGTTGTAGAAGCTGCTCTTCTAGCTCCATCGTGTACCTTCCGTAGGTTCCACATGGTCTTGCAGCAAGCTGCGTGCGGATAGTCTTGCGTGCGACACGTGCAGGTGCGCGTTCTTTTCCGCATTGCTGCCATCCCAACCCGAACGTGCAGGAGCACTTCATCTTCTTCTCTTCCGCGGCGTTGCGCAGAATGTCCAGGGCTTGATCTCAGCAGCATCCCATTGCATCCCCCCTTCCCAAATTCCAGGCACATTCTGCGCCCAGCTGTAGCAACAGGGCTGCAGCTCTTCTGCTCGTTGATCGTGCGAGTGCCCGATTCGAGCTGCTGGTCAAGGGCCCTGGCCTCAATCGTAGTAAACATTCCAGGTAGGCTATCATGACCTGCGACTTGCTATCACTTAGGCTCGTTCGTAAGCCTGCTTCTGATTCTCAATCGAAGCTGGCGTGGGCCTCAGTCTGACTTCAATAGACTCTGCTCCACGCCTCGGCGGGGTCTCGGTCTCAAATCTCGGCATGTCTCAGCAACCCACATGTTGTCTGTCTGTCGCTTTGGCGGGGGACCAAGATCCTTGCCAAGCACGACAACGCCACCAGAAAAAACCAAGTTCACCGAGAGCCGAGCATCTCCCGTCGGCAGTGGAGGTGCCTGGTCACGGGTGCCACGGGTGCCACTAATCCACAGTAGACCTGTGAACCAGGATCCAGAAGCTTTGACTACCACCCTCTTGCCTGCCACTGCGGCGGAGTTGGCAGCGCAAACTGCCTCGGACAGGTGGGCGTTTCATGCTATTAGCAAGCTTGAGACGTCTATGCCCGCCGTGCTACGCTTGTGGCTGCTGGTAGGCAGCAGGAGCGGCTGGACATTGCAGCATACCTGACAAAGACGCTTGTCCAAGTCCCTTCACGGCCATGCATGGATGTCCAATGATGTCCACAATATAAGACCATGCAAGCCAATGTCAAATCTGAGGCAGTCTCCGGTGTGTTGGCCTCTGTTGCCAGGGTCTAGGCTGAGCCCGAGCCCCCTCGAAGGCTGCGTGGAGATGTGACAGAACTCTGACACGGCTAAACGGTAAAACATACAGCACAGGGTACGCAACAAGCGAACGTTTGAGGTCACAACTGGCACCCAAGCAGGCATAAAGTCCAGTCTCTAGCCTTCTCCCTCAACACAGTTCTGCACCACCCAACCAATTGATATCCCATCATGTGTTTGCCAATCTTTTCCAGTATTTGAGCACGCTGCCCGCATCTACCAGCCCTGCTGTCATTCGGGAGTGTGCAAGCCGAAGTCTATTGTCTTTGACCGATTGACCAAGATTACGATCTGGCCTTGGGCATCAAATTCAACACTCCTGGAAAAGCAATCCTCGAATTCGTCGAAGCTTCCTGTAGCTGAGGGGCAGCTGATCTGCCATCAAGCCCTGACCCCGGATCACCGAAATCGTCATCATGTCACGGCTGGACTCTGCTGTCTTTTCACCACGAAGGTCGCGCTCATGCCTGAAAATCCACGCAGGACAGCAGCAAGAGGAAGCTGACGAGCCATGCTTGGCAGGCACGTCCATCTGTCGCGGATCTTCCTCCAAAGCTCCGGCCACCCCCTAGAGCGAACTCGGCAATGACGGGATCGTGCATGTTGATGGTTGCCCATTTCGGGGGTTGATGGCTGCGTTCTGTTCCGAAGGGGAAAACGGTGTTCATGTAGGCTTCCTTGGCCTCAAAGCCTCCAGCGATGATACGATCGAAGGGGTGCAGGTATATCGGATAGCAACAGGTCTTCTGCTGCGCACTGCCCACGACGCCTCTTACATCTGGGTAGATATCAGCCATGATCTCGGCGGCCGACTTTGGCTGGTTCGTGTCTGCGATCAGAACCACCTGCTGAAGCAAACAAGCATTTCCAGATTCTTCTTCGGCTTCCAGGGATACTGAGCACGAGATTAATTGACAGCATTGTGGTCTTCAATTGGAACACGTATGGAACGGACTTCAGCATCCCAGTTTCCGCAGTTTCGCTTATGCTTCGCACCTCACAGACCCCACCCCCAATCACGCTCGAAAGCCAGTAACCTTCTGGACCGTACGAAGGTCCTGCTGCGGGCTGGGAAGGTGGTGAGGTAGATTAGCTGCCATTGAAAAGGGCTTCGGTCGGCAATCCCATCTGGTGGCTTAAAACCTGTCGTGAAGCTAATCCCGCATCATCCCAAACCAGCACGGCGTAGAATGCATGAGAAGCCTCCCTGAACATGTGCCTGATCTATGCCAGACGCTGCACGAAACGAAGTCAAAGCAGCCGACAGCCCACGGATCTCTTCAAGATATTTCTTTTGGTGTGGGAAGTGCGCGACAACGACCACAACCTCGAATCGGGTGTGCGAATGAACGAAGGCTTGGCCAAGGAAGGCTCGGTAATTCGTTGTGCCTTCGACTTCCCCGGCAGTGTTGACCCTTTCCATGCACCCACTGAAGGGCTGCAGAGCTGTACCATTTACCTCTTTCACCTTCCATCTCGACTTGCGGTACAGAAGCATGGCGCTGTCAAAAGGCATGGCTCCAAAGCCGTTCTCACCTCCACAAGTATGATGGAGCCCTCCCCATGCTTCGTCAACGCCATTGCTTGTGAGCTCTTCATCTGCTAGCTGCTCTATGCCAGCAAAATCCAGCGCACCGTCACCTTCACCGAGCATGCCTTTCAACTGTTCGGTTGCATTCTGCTTGCATTGCGGATAGGCCTTGTCGCAGTGGCCGGGAATTTTCGTGTCTTGGCAAGAAAGGAAACACTCGCTATGTATGTTCCATTGCAGAAAGCTCAACACATTCAAAGGAAGGTCCCTGCTGTTCAGAAAAGACCCAGATCGTGACTCCTTCGTGGCACCATTGAAACACAAAGGGACTAAGGGTTCAATTCTGAGCACCTTACAGAAACCAGAAAAACCTGGCGTGCCAACCTGCCTCCAAGCTTCTGACAGGATCTGGGCAGCATCAGAAATACTCCACTCAGTCAGCCAAATGAAAAGGCTTACCGAGGTGCACGGAGGCAGCATGGAGTAAAACGGGTACGTTATCGGATGCCATAGGGTTTGGCACTTGAGCATTGGTTGCACGACGACACGCTGCAAGCTTCAGATTATAGCCTTCAAAGGAAGAAGCTCAACACTCTACACTTAGATCCAAGACCCTATCCGTCGCAAGCCTTCGCAACTGTTTGTCATCGGCCCACACAGACAAACCTGACCTGCGTAAACTGAACCTCAACAGACCTTCATGTCTTAAAGGACCGTGGTTCGACGGGCGCTGCACCACGAGTTTGGCAAGGCAAAAGGCCGTGACTTGCGCCCACATCCGTGGGCAGGCAAGACGAGGCTGCAAATCAAAACCTGCAGCACCCTGACATTCCACCTGCCGTGTTCACACAAGCTCAGCGCAGGGCAATGTAAGATATACTAGAGCGCACATGTACGTTTCTTGAGCTTTTCTGCGTGTCAAGAGCTATGTTCTCCTGTGGCGCGGCTCGGCCGGTCCCCATGCAAGCTGCTTCGTATTAATCCAAATGCATGGCGCTCCAACTCAACGGCTTCTTGCCAAACAGCAATGATTGCACATCAACCTTAAACTGGAGTGCCTTCAAGCATTTGGTCTGGCATTCCTCAGATAGGGGAATGCACGAAAACCTTGCTCCGCGATTTGCCTGGCTTTGAAACAGGGAAGATGAAATTGATGTCGATGTAGGTCAGAATGCGTACACGCGGTGATGTAGGTCAGAATGGTGACGACAGGCCCTATGCAATTGGCCAGGTTGATGCAATGTTCGACACTTTGGCAACGATCAGGCTAATCTGATGGCGGCATCTAAATGAACTGTCGAATTCGGCATCTCACTTTACAGCCGTTCAAAGCCTTGATGCGGAGGGTGGGGAGAAGCATGTGTGTGCAGCATGGCACAACACGTGACAGCACCTAGGCAGAACGGCCGCAACGCGACGCCCACTGCAAACGGTTCCACTTTCCTGGCCAAAGATACAGGACATGAGGCGATATGAGAGGATTTCCTGTGGATCCCACCTCGAAGACTTTAACTCGATACAGGCAGATGTAGCTCTCGCCCCACTCGGGCCCTGCAAGCACCGGTGCTTGTGAAGGGACAAGCGGAACTGGCCACAAGTGGAATCCTGAGAAGACCAGGCGGAGACCCTGGACCATCGTTGATGGCAGCTCAAAGGCCTCGCATCAGCCGGACGTCTCAGAGCCACATAAAATCTTGAAGCCCTCGCCCTCGCCTGTGCGGCAGGCCCCGCAGCAGCGTACTCGAAGCTGCCCAGAAACTCTGTGTACCTAGACAAGGGCATTTCGGCGAGCGACGTGGTCTCTTATCTCTGTAAGCGTGGTTGGAGCACGGACCCTCTCCCACCTGAACACGCTTCCAATGGCGACTTCACGGAAACTCGATGCAAGCTCTGGGCTCTGGGCCTTCGCGGTCGTCGCTCGACCGGTATTTGCCGGCAGCCCGAAAACGGCGAAGCGCCGCGGCGCTGAACGCGGCCGCAGCGCCGCCCAGCGAGCGGGCTGCCGAGTGGGACAGTGGGATGCCGATAAATTGATAGGCGAGGAACTAACTCGCCTGCTCGATGACAAGCTGGCGAGCTGAAACTCCCAAGCCGTCGGGGGCCAACCGCAGTGCCAGGCTGCTGTTGGCTCCACGGAAAGCAAAGCCTCAAACTTCACTGCGAAGCGACAACGGACTATGAAACCACAGAGCACAGCTACTTTTGCAAGTCTCTGGCAGTCTCTTGACTGTGTGATGCTCGCATTGCTCAATACAACCTTGGAGGGAGCAGTAGACTGGTGATGAGTCGGACTCTGCCAAGGCCATCCAATGGGTCCCGGCAGAGGGGCCTTCGGAGCGGTATACATCTGCTCGGGCCTTGCGACGTTTCCGGCGTTTCCACAGCGCTCCCCGAGCCCCGGAACCCTCGCGAGCGCAGCCTTGAACAAGGGGATTCCAGTCATTTCGCCCAGGCCGAGCAAGGCCTCAAAGCGACGCAGCCCCGGACTCGGAAGGAAACCCAGGCCCGAGCCCTGGCCTGGTGCGTTGCTCCACTACTGCGAGCTCTCGAAGAAGTGTGGTAGAAGTCGATCTGCGACGAGCTTGTAGAGCCATCTCATGCCATCTCTGCCATGGCATGCACTCTGAATTCGCCTCCGTTTCGATGGGCTTCGGGGCTTCGGCACAGACTGTCTTCGCCTGCTCGCACGAAAACTACTCCACACACAGAGTGGCGGCTTCTCATGTGCCTGGCACCGGCCCTCCAGCAGGATGTGTCGCAGCCGCCACTTGAAGTCAGCTGGCCAGCCCCCACCCATCACTGCCAGCTGCAGAACTGCCTCTCAGAACGTTAAGATGGGAGGTGAGAGGCATTTGACACGGGGCGCACCTTCCGGAAGTCCTCTTCGGCTTGACTGTCAGCAGCCTGCGTGCACCAGAAGCCAACACTTCCGCCACGCAGTCGATACGATGCGAGGTCTGCACCTGCTGGGAAACTGGTCTTCACTGCCGGGTTGGATTCATGAGCCCGAGTCCACGCTGCCAGGGAACGGTGTTGCTCTGTCGTTTAGATGGTATTTTGTCGAGAAAACTTGACGTACCTGGCAGGAATCCTAAAGGACGGAGCAAGACTGTCCGTCGGCATGGACTTGCCACCTAGAGCTCAATCTTTGTACAAAGCTACCCCGGTCTGTGCTGCACAGGCCATTTCGGCAGCTGTCCGTCGTCAACTCGATGCTGTCATCAGTATTGCTCTCACTGCATTGCGATGGAGATCTTGTGGCCGAGCTCCAGCAAAACAGGCAGCAGCCTCAATTTGCACACCCACAACACAGACATGACTTGCCTGCACCCGTTGCACACCTCTCACAAGTCTACGTGCAGCCAGCAAAGTGTACTACTAGGCAAAAGCGGTGAATGTACCGCAAGCAACATGACTGCCAAGGGTTTGGCGCGCTCACTGACTCGTCGATGAGATTCAGAAAATGCCTCAGCATGCAGTCTGACTGCCAAGGAGGTTGTGACACCGAGACCCCCAGAGCTTGCTACTCCTCTGCCTGTTCATCATCCATCACAGCCTTCGACTCCCAATAGCGTTTTGTCAGCTTTTGCATACCGGTCGGTGCTGACTTTACTTGGTGCCTGGAACTTCTGCTCCACCTTGAGGATGGCGAACTGCGGATCACTACAGATGTCCTGGGGCTTTGGAGAGCATCGAGACCGTCCAGGAGGGCACATGGCACGCCACCAAGGCCTTGATGCCAGAATCCGTCATCAGGTACAGCAGGTTAATGATCAGCTTGGAGTGCCGACGTAAGATCTTGAAGGCCTGGCCTTGGCTTAGAAGGGCAGGAACATCTTTCTTTCACAGTTGTCTATCCGGCCGATTGCTCGCTTCCGATGGGTGGCTATTGAGCAAATATAAAACCGACGAACATAATTTCCTCCGTTACTTTGTCGTTTCCTCCCGGCTCCTGTGTCGTTCCTCCTGGGAGTTCATCTTAAAAGTTTACAACATTAACAATACTTCATCGTTCGAATGCCCTCAATGCTCAAAACTCCCTCTAAACTTTCATCCCCGGACGATACGTGGCCCACTGGTGACTTCCTGAGACGAGCTGCCCTTGTTACTTCTGCCGGGTCTCACCTGTGACTTCTCTCACAGGCGTGCATTCTTCGGCTTAACGATCCGGTTTCAATTTTACTTCTTAGGTCTCTCGCGGATTCAAAGGGAAGGAGCAAAAACCGCAGCCGAAGCTGGAGCACGAGCAAGAACAGGAGCAAGATCCTCCCCAAAGCGGCAGTAAAGATGCAAATACCCAGTAGTCATTTTCGAGTTTGTCGTTTTGGGAGCAGAGGGCCCTCCACCACGTTAAAGACGAAACAATTAACGACTTAAACATGCGCTAAATCCACGTAGTCAAAAAATGCGGTTAAGGGCCATTGGCTGAGTTTACAACCCCGAAAATGGCCCTGAAAATCCATTCCCAAAAAGATCGAAATAATCGCCTGTGGCTGTGTGAAGGACACCAAAACATTCATTCCAAGCAGAATAGGGTTAACCGCCTCCGACAACAAAAGAACACGCTCCGAAAAAGATCGAGGTAGTCGCCGTTGGCTGTGTGAACAACACCAAAACGACACATTCCGAAAAAAAATCGGGGTGGTCGCCCTTGGCTGCGTCATGAGACCGAAAACACTACATTCCAAAACGAGTCGGGTGAGTCGCCTTCGGCTGTGCAAGCAACCCCAAAACAATACATTCCAAAAAAGAGCGGGACAGTCGTCTGTGGCTGTGCGGGAACCCCAATGCAATGCAGTCCAAAAACGATCGGGGTAATCGCCTTTGGCTGTGTTAATGTGTTGACAACTCCAAAACCATACGTTCGAACGGTGTAAACACTTTTGGCTGTGCTAGCAACCCCAAAACAATACATGCCAAACAGGATCTTGGGAAACGGCGTCGGCTGTGTGAACAGTACCAAACATTCCAAATAGGATCGAGGCAATTGCCCTCGGCTGCTGTAACAACAACAAAACAATGCATTCCAAATAGGACCGGGGTAATCGCCTTTGGCAAACTTTTGCCGTGTTAACAACTCCAAAACAATACATTGCAAAACAGATCCTCGTAGTCGCTTTTGGTTGTGTTAACCACCTCAAAGTAGCACATCCCAAAAAAATGCATCGGGTTAATCGCCTTGAGCTGTGCGAACGGGCCAACACAAAACAATCCAAATAAGATCGGGATGGTCGCCTATGGCTGAACACCAAATGAATCAAGAATAAGGGCAATCGCCTTTGGCTGCGTGAACCCCAAAACCAATACATACATTCCAAAAACGCTCGGGGTCCTCGCGTTTGGTTGTGCAACAACCTAACACCAAAACCAATACGTTCAAAAAAAGTCAGGGTAATCGCCTGTGGCTGTTTGAACAACGCCAACACACTAAATTCCAAACAGAATAGGGTTAATCGCAAACGGCTGTGTTAACATCACCAAAGCAATAAGTTCCGACAAAGATCGAGCTAGTCGCCGTTGGCCGTCAACAAAAACAAAAACAACACACTCCGAAAACAAATTGGGGTGATCGCCCTTGGCTGTGTCAACAACCAAAACAATACATTCCAAAAAGGATCGGGGTAATCGGTTTTGGCTGTGTTAACAACCCCGAAGCAATGACACGCCAAAAAGGATCGGGATAATCGCCCTCGGCTGTGTTAGCAGCCCCAATACAATACATTCCAAAAAAAAATCGGGGTAATCGCATTTGGCTGTGTTAGCAACCCGACAACCATACATTCGATCGGTGTCAACGCTTTTGGCTGTGCCAACAAATCCAAAACAGTACATTCACCGTGGTAATCGCCTTTGGATCTGTTACAAACCCCAAAATAATACATTCCGAAAAGATCGGGCTTGTGAGCAGAGGAATGGTCAAATACGCCTCTTAGCACTCGACTGAAAAGTTTTCGACAGCATAAACATTGACAGCCTCCTCGATGCATTACGCGTTTTTGCTACTCCAGATTTCTGCTTGGACGTGATCTCGGCCATGATGCGTCAACGAAACTTTTGCGTAGCTAACCAAGGAATCACTTCTGCAAAACAGTCCCAGAAATCTGGCATTTCGCAAGGTTGCACCGTGAGCCCCTTGGTAGTCATGAGGACAATGACAATCCCATGCATAATGCATCATGATGCCGTTTCCAATCCTGATGCTGGACGCATCGAATCGCCACCTGGTCAACACTGACACAGGTTTGCCCGGACACGAGCTTGGTCGCCGCATCGGCAAAAGTGGATTTTGCTGATCTGCATAAAGTTTGCAGGCACTCTTCACTTCGCGTTCATCCGAAGGTCTATATTTACAAAACTCTGGTTGATTCCAAACTAATGTGAAGCCGAACTTCGACACTTGGATGGTTTCCAAAACCGATATCTACGTCGTATCACTGGCATTCCACCTTTTTCTTTCCCGTGCTCCAAACACGGCCTTTAAATGAGGCGTTTACATGAGGCGCGCTGCAACGATACGGTTAACGCTGCAAAGTCGGTGCTGACATGTTAGGGCAAGCTCTTAAGGTCTCCACTGGACCACCCTGTGCACGTACCTGCGTTCATACTTGAAACCCTTCAGCCCGCCACCAGCAGGTACGCGAGGCAAGTAGGTCGACCGAGACGGGAATGGGTTTCTGGGCACTTTCTGGGCGCAAAAGTACCGTTTCGAGCTTGGCGGGTCTGATCCGATGGGTCTTGTCCAAATCGAGCCTCCAAGAAACATGCTCAAGACAAAGGACGCTTCGAAAGATGCCGACAGCGGACGAACCAGAGGTGCAGATGCTCTGCCAACAGCACCAGGGGCCCGGCAACATTTGGACTTGAAGGACTGGTACCCAGGCGAGGGGTTACCACCCATCCCTGCTTGAATGCAAAAGGCTGATGCAAAAGTATCAGACCCCCAGCAGGCCTTCAACCATCTCCTGGCATCTGACAACCGGTTTACAGCAAGGAAGAAGACATGCCGCCATGTTGGACTAGTGCAACAACATACAGTACGACGATGCCTTGCAGATGCGCATGGGCGGCGGGAATGGCTTGGGATCTTTGCCTCACATGGAGCGCACAGGTGCAAAGCACTTGAAACAGGCTCAGCAAGGCCCGGCACCCAAGATAAATCCGAAGTCAATGTGGAAGAGTTTGCCGTCCTTGGTGACCTCAAATTATGGGCAATGTCCGTTACCGAGCGTTGGTGCAACTTCGTTCGTTCTGATGAGGCTACTTCGAGGAATTTCTCGCTGTCTTTCGCGCGGGATACTCGCGGGATGCTTGGAGTTGAGGTTTCGGATTTCTTGGAGTCTGGGAATGAGGTTTAGCGTTTGTGAAGGTTCGAATTTAGGCACTGAGGTCGCAGGATTCATGCAGTTGTTTGGGGTGAAGATTTCGGGTGCCGTGCAGTTCAGGGCTCGGAGTTGGAGGTTTGTGCCTCCAAGTCGCTGGCCATGGCCTCGAAAACGCCTCAACTAAACTTTTCCCCAAGTTGACACACTGCAGATGTTGAAGCTGAGGCCGGAAATACGCAACACCTGTTCAAAAGCTGGCCATGGCCTGCTAGGCCACAACTTTGCGTAGATACCCCAAGTTTGTTACGGAATAACTTTCGCAGACTACGGCTTTCCTTTCGTGCCCTTCGCGAGACCTTCAGAGACACATTGCTGTAGAAAAGCATGAAGCTTGCTGAAGCCTAGCTACTAGGTCTCTGCAGCTTCTTCCATCTGTGGTCCGACGTTTCATGCTGTTGGCGCTTGATGCCAAGAATGCCGTTTGCAATGGGTTCATCCAGGCCTAACTGAATGCGCCGTGCATGAATGGTCGGTTATGTTGCTGCCGCCAAGGTTTCTCAAGGCCGCTTGCCAGGGGTGCCCACACAACAGCCACGTCGCTGCTCGAACAGCGTACAGTATCAGCACGAGGTCACGGGTCGATGAATTCAAATGATCTACCCATTGAAACCACATCAAGATTCGGGAACTGACAGATGTGTTCCGATCTTAGTCAAACATTCCTAACGGCCTTATGGAACCTGTTCCGAAGTATCGTTCGTCACCGCTCTGCGATCCCGGCCATAAGATTGTCAAGGTGACGGTCCCCAATGCCGAGGATGTAGGTGATGACCTCTCGCATTTCGTCAGGACACAAAGGAGGGCAGGCCTCGCCGCACTGGCAACCTCTGAGCATAGCACACAGTAGCCTGCACAGCTGCGGACCTCAGCAGCGGAATGCTGCACATGGTACTTGCACAAAAGAGAGAACGGCTCTCAGGCTGCGGCGAAGTTCTCCAGCACCTGGGAGGCAGTACTTTGAGAACCCTCGATGCCACCCGAGGCCCCCCACCCCACCCCCGGCCTCGGCCTTGATACCATAGGAGTTCTGCGCGCACCACGCGCCGCTCCTACAGTATTCGGATTCCCGTCCCGTTGATCGCGGATCCCGGATGCCGGGGCAACCACGCGTCGTCGCCCTTGTTCTGGCCCTTGAAGCCAGCATCAGCCTCAAAATAGACGCCGTGCACGGATGCCCAAGGTCTTACCGTTCCACAAGGAAAACCCCAAACTGGTGGGCTGGGACTGCCACTGGATGGTGGGCACGGAAGAACTGCTGGATGTCCTTACTGAAAGCCAAGCCAGCTGCATGATCACCACTAGAGAGAGATGCGCATCCTGCATTGCAGGATGGGCATCAGACAAAACTGAGTTGAACAGAAGATCTACGGGCATCGTGACTGTCACAGGCTTGTAGGACAACACGGTTCTCTGTCGGTGCGGCAGAGGGAGCGACCCCATTGTGCTCTTTAAGCACTTTGGACAGGTTGGAAGAATCAGGAACCTTGGGCAGAACCGAGTTTCGGTGCAGACACAGATCTGCTCGAAGTTGCAAGGATGCAGCAAAGTCGATCAGCCCGTCGTTGCGAGAAAGAGCCTTGCAGGGCACTGTGCAGGATCGCTGTCGGTGGCTGCGCGGCCGTGAACCCGAAGTGATGTGCGAAGCGAATCACTAGTCGCTGCATGTGCCCTTGCTTTCCATCTTGTGCTACGGTTAAGAACGGAACGATCACTTGGTAGGGTGTCAACTGGAGGTCCAGACCTTGTGAGAGCTCATCATGCATCTACTAAATGCTCATTCCAAGCTCAGTCCCAAGCCATATCTCTTCAGGATCGAATCCATAAGGATGATCAACTGAAGGACCAGCCTTGTATCAGTGTCCAGAAATCTTAGACCCACACCAAGAAGGGATCTATCCACCTTCCTCAACCCGGCCCGCCGTTTTCCCCTGCTCTCTGTGGTGAACTTGGCAAAACAAAAAGAATAAAACGACCGTAGGAAAGCACCAGTCTCACAAGAAGGAGAACCGCACCCTTGCGTTCGGCCGAGACCGTGCAATTCCAGTATCTGCTCGGGGCTGCGAAGTCTCAACTTTTAAGCACCATTCCATTTACATCCTGGCCCAGCACTGCTTGCTGATGCAATGATCGAATCGCTGATGAAGCGGTTTCTGAACTGTCCACGAGTCTTGCCGAAAGACGTGTAAGACGAGTGGCTTGTGCACAGCAAACTGCATGGCGGGTTTGTCACCATCTTAACGGATTCTGTGCCATCTTGTCGAGCACATTTAAGCTCACCCCAACACCAAAGACCATGCCAAAACCGGAAGCCTGAGCCTGTGCACGTTGAGCATTTGTCTTGCAGCAACACGAGCTTCTGCAAAGGGCCCGGCTTTGAGTAGGCTCACTCAGGGCTGGGATGCCCGGCTGGTCTTGCCGCAGATCGTCACCCTCTTTCACCATGACCTGATGCTCAAATTGAAATCACTTCCCTAGTCTTTGCAGCTTGCGCCCTGCAGGCCGCTGACCCTTTTGAGGCTCCGCTGGCCTTGGGGATTCGACGACGGGCGAACCTCTCTTGCCCACGGAAGGCCGCAGGCAGCACTGTCACGTCAAGCAACACGAACGTCGTCTGCATGACTTAGCTGCTGCACTTGCCTGGCAGGCGAGCACACCTGGACTCATCGCCGACTTCAGCAAGAAGCACCTTTGGAGATCAGTCACCGTCGTTCGCCCTCTGTGACAACTGCAGCCCTGCGACATTATTGATCGTTGGCTCCGCCACGGATGTGGAGCTCTCAAGCAATCGTGCTCGGCCGCGCCAAGTCTTGCGATTTGCGTTGATGTCCTTGATACTAGTATCATTGGAGATTTCGCCTCGAGTCCGGCATGGCGTGAACAGGAAGCGAAAGCCAAGTGTGGGAGTTGGCACGATGCTCTGCTCATCCGCTCATGCTTTGTCACTCCGTATGGGCGGTGCACGGTACTCCGCACTTGCAGAGGACAGTCTGCCAATGCGAACACAATGGTACCACTTGCGATTGAGATCTCAGAGGTTCGGTTTTTCAGAGCTGTATCAGACTGACTGCTGGATATGACAGATATCTGCATGAAAATGGCAGACAACTACACACAGCACCACGCACGCGCGATTTTGCATTGCCGAGCCCCAGAACTATGTCCAAAGTGGTCGAAACAAAACTGCAAACAGGGACCTGCCACTCAGGGCCCAAGGCACCTGAATTCCGGCCCCCATCAACAGACCAAAACCGGTGTGCCGTCCCCAAGAAAACGCAGGAAGCAACCACAGCCTCACCGGGCACCCTGCACGAGTGGTGAGGAAGGTCATCCGTCAAGGACACGGTCTTCCAAGACAGACTGAATCAAGGTGAAGAAGGGGTGAACAATTGAAAGTCGGGATGAATAAGTTCATCCGCCAGAGTGGTGTGATCTCTCTATACATGAGAAGGCGCAAATGCATGCAATGTCGATGGAGTTGAAACAGGATCCCCACCAAGATGATCGCAATTGGCATCTTGCTGGACGTGTCATTGTCATTGAGGAGTGGACACTACGCTGGCCATAGCTACGTCCATCTTGGGCTTTTCAGAAAAAGCAGAACTGTGTCCAGCGCAGTCAACTGTTGCGAAGGGAGCCAGCATGTTAATTATTGGTTTCCTCGTCTTCGTGAGACTGAAGGTTGTGGAGCAGGGTCGACGAGCAACCGCAGTCTCGTCATGGATCTGCTCCCATTCCTTGTCAAAACCAGGGTCCGCTGTGTCACGCGGAAGAGTCTCACTCTCAATGGTCTCAATGCTGGAAGCCATCTTATCCGCAGAGGAGGCCATTGCGACAGAGAAAAGGCGAGAGGGAGAGAGAGAATGCGAAAGCTTTGAATTTAGGACCTACAGTTCGAAATCTCGAGCCGGAGCCATCTTGGCAGACATCGCCTGACATAACTCTTGAGACTCGGCAAATTTGTAGCAAGTCGTACAGGTTGAGGCTCCGGCTGCTCTGGCAAGATACCCACCTTGCAAATGCCGGTATAACGGACATTCCCCCCTGTTCAGCGTCTCATCGCACGTCGCACATATGTCCGAGGAATCAGCTAAAGAAACGGACGGATCCACAGGAAGTGGGATGCCTTCCTTGAGCCTTGCGGAGTGTCATACGAAGCGACATGCAGTGAGATGCACCTGGCTGAGGCCGTTGCCCATGGACCAGATCCAGCTCTTGGAAGGAATCCTGCATCACAGGCAGACATGTTAGACACGAAATCAAAAGAATGCTCGCGCCTCGCCAGCAGGTGGATCAGTGGCAACCAGCGCTTGCCGGAAGCGTTCGATCTGGCCCCAATAAACGAATTGCAAGCAAGCACGTCTGCTAGAATCAAATCTCTGCATCCAAACGGTGCCAATCCGTTCTTCTCTCTGTGACCAGGGAGCCTTCTTCTCGATTCGGTCTCTTTTCCCCTGCCCCACACACGGAAGAAAAAGGTTCTTCCTGAAGCTGTGCAATACTAAGACTGGGCTACCGGCAGCCTTGGCCACCTGCAGACTCCAGAGCAGCTTCTTGCGCAATCGCTCCTTTCGAACGCCACGGCAACAGCAACTTTTTGGATTCTCCAATGTTTTGGGCTTGGGCCTTGGGGACTCTGCCCCTACCCGCAACATGATAAATATGAGATCCCCAAGGAAATCCTTCCATCGCTCCTGCTGCTCCAGCAGGTGCCTCGTAGCTTTTGCCTCCTGCGAGGACCGCAAGGCCTCGAGAAGCCGCTGCCGCACCTGTTCCAGGCTTTCGGCGTCTGATGGCGTACGGGAGTTACCACAAGGGGGCTTGAGAGCGAGCGAAGCTGGAGGTTTGGCAAGTCAAGATCTCGGGCGTGCCATGTCGAAGTGGCCGCCAGACTCACCCTCGTCGATTTCGGCCTCGATATGACAGCAGGTATTCGCCGTCGACAAAGCTTGTAACTGGTCGAACTGGGTGCGAGGCGACGACATACCAATAGAGCAGAGTGGCTAAAGAAGGGCAGCTGACAGCTCGGCGAATGAGGAACCTCGGCACAACGTCTTCACTGGCGATGTCTTGCCATGCCTGGCTCTCAGACGGCGGCCCTGCCAAGGCCTCAAGCATGCGCCACTTCTGAGCCTAGAACCTCTGAACGTTAAGCAAACAATCCCTTGTCTTTGCTTTGGTCGGCTTTCGTGGGTCTACTCCATAGATCTCAGGCGGAGAATCACATGAGGCAGGGGAGTCTGCAACGTACGGACATGTTACGGAGCTCCGGCTGCCTGCAATCTGAACCGCGGTGCTCAATTCTAAGCACAACCAGCCCAACTTGCCTCGCCACTTCGGCCACCTTCGGCCTAAACGGGCTAGCAAATACTTCGACTCGAGTGTGAGGTGGGAAGCGCCTCCTACCAACCTGCTAGCTGCCAGCAGCCCGTGTGGCAAACATCAACAACTGATCAGGCCTCGCTCTCCATCGTAGCCTCGTTTGGAGGCTCGTAGCGAAGAGCCTGCCACGGATCAGAGCCACAGCTGAACCGCGCTCGCAGCAACGATAATAGAGGACCTGCACTAGCTGCAGCAAGTAGAGCTGCAGGTCTGCGTCGCTGGCATTCTGCAACCTCTGCCTCCAGCGTTACATGCGTGACACCATGCACAATGGCACTATGCATGAAGATTCCTGCTGCCATATGGAGCAAAGCCCAAGATCAACAGTCTTGTCCGGATGGCTTCTTGTCAGGAAAACGTTGCAAATGGCTCCCCTTTGATGAGCCCTTGTTCACCAACCTTGCATCAGCAGGATGGAGTTCTGGAGTTAAGAGTACAAGGAGCCTGAGATTGGCGTGCACATGTGGCATCTGGTTGGATCTTGGCGCAGATGTTGCGCCAGCTGTGAGTCGAACCGCAGTTCCTCACTGGCCGCAGTGAGTCCGAACCGTGCTCCTCCAGAGTCCCGTCGAGACCTCGAATCGGAACCTGCATTCTGCACCGGTGCTATGGCAGGTCTTTAGATCTGGGAGGTTGCAAGCCAAAGCGGGGTCGCTTGCATTCGCGTCACAAGTTTCTTGGATCCTTTGAATGCAGCAAGTTTTCTGGCTTTGGTCGCTTTTCTGCCGTGCTGTGGCCGGTCCGGCAGTCCGAATTTCTGATCTCTCACCGTGGTGCCGAACGTTGGCCTCGCGCGCGTGCGCGTAGCGCGTCCGGTGATACAGCTGGCTTTGGGACTGGCGAGGTTACGTTGGATGTCCTGGTGTGTTCCCAGGACCTAGTAGGCACTCGTGCCAGATCGGACAACAGCATCCGAGGACATCACACAGCATGGTGCCGAACTTCTCGAAGTCCTTGAAAATCCTGACGAAACTGATCGCACACAGACGGAACGGAATAAGATCCCTATCAAATGCCTTGCGGCCACAGAGCGATCTACTGGTAGCGATCTCGCCTTGCTGAGGAGCTCCAGGGCATCGTCGATGTCCACTGGACTCCAATGCCCTCGGCGGACTCTCGAAACATCGGCAAACAAGGCCCCCCTTTTAAGCTTCACTAAGAGGACGTTCTAACTCTCAGGTCTCGGCCCAAGAGCTCGATGGCGTGGTTCCGCTCCTCAAAGGGGGAGAAAACCCCAAAACCGGTCTCCAAACAAACGGTCTCTATACCCCAAAGAGGCGCCCAGCAGAGGTCGCTCCTCCACGTGCGACCAGTCCACCGCATGGAGGAACTTGGTCAGGGCACCCGGTTGGTCCTGTGCACGGCGGCACGGTCTTCAAGCACAAGGCATGTAGAATGATGCGGCCGGGGAGCTGTCAGGCTCCAGCGAAATCGGAAAAGCAAATCCTTCTCCTCCGAACCTTGGTGTCATATGGCGTAATGGCGGACAGTCCGTGGATCTGGACAAGAGCTATGAATCCTGTCCAACAGTCCTGGAAGGAAGCCTATTTGAGCCAATCATGCCGCAAAGCTCCTACATGCCGGGACATGGGAACCGTACTGAGCTGGCGCCGCGGGCGCCGAACCAACTCGGCCTTCATACTTCAGCCCCAACTCGCACCGTCCTCATGTCTGGAACCACCGAGCTTCTCACCAGGCGACGGAGTTCATCAGCACTGGGTCTGGCATCCCGATCCTGCAGTGCACAGCCAGGAACCCTATGGAGCATTCGACCCTCTCTCTTCGCATCGCCACATCGCACACACCGGCAGGACCTTGAACATGGCGGCACGCGACGAGCGACCCAGTCGGAGGCTCTTCAAAAGCGCTGGATGTTCCAAGGCAGCTCCCTGAGCTCCAGAACATGGTTTCTGATGCTTACGTCCGCGTCCGTCTCACGCATGTTAAAGCTTTAAGGTGTGCGCAGGGTCCAGAAAGCTTTTGAAACTCCGGCCTCAAGTCCAAGGGCCCAGAAGACGCCCAACAGATCTCGCAGACCCGGACAACCAGATGTGCCAATGCAAGTCGCAAGCCGTGCCTTGTCCCGTGAGCCCAGAAGGCACCGAGCTCGTACTGAGGAGGCATGAGGAATCCGATTGCACTGCATTGCGACGAAAGTCCCCGGCGCAGCTGCCGGGTCCGGGCGCATTGATCGGAGCCTCGTTTACTCCGCATCTCGTGAGATTCCGTGAGGGCAGCTTTGCTCCGGACAACCACTGTGCTCCCTTCAGGGCATCGAGGTCTTGCTGGTCGACATCCTGGACATCCGGACACGCAACATGATGATTCGTCAGTGGATGCGAGAGAACTAGGTGTCCTTCGATCTGGACGCCGCGAGGACGCCGGAGGGGATCTCGATATCCTGTCCATATTGAGACCTGGCAAAACATCCCACATTGCCGCTCATTGACTGCGCCAAAATGCCATTCCTGTGCTCGCAATCTTGGCACCCTCGCTCTGCAAAGATAACAGGGTGCTGGAACTCGGGAAGCTGAATTGAAAGCCTTGAGTCGCAGGTCGCACGGTGCTTGCAGGCTTGGAACGAAGCCTCACTTTCTCGTGGAGTGAAGGTGCGCTGTGCGATGTGCACCACGAGAACGCTGCTTCAAGCAGCTCCGCGAGCGTGAGCGTGCTTTAAGGCGTTTGCTGCGAAGCTGCTGAGGCGAGAACCAGGCCATTCCTGAGCTCTCCAGCGCCTCCTGCACTTCGCCTGAAAACAAGACTCCCTGGTCACTGTCTCCATCACCACATGCAAAAGCCCGCAACGCTCGTTGAAACAGTCTCCAGCACGCCTGCAAAGGCATCTTCGCACTCAGGCACGGAACTCGTCGGAATCCATCCTGTGCTCACTGAAGCCCTTGAAACTTTCGTGTGGTTCCTCGGCGGATCTGCACCTCGTCTTTTCAACTCCAGAGCCTCCTCCAAGCGGAGTGCCTGCGACACTTGCCGCGCCAGAGGCTCGAGGCGTTCTTTACATGAACATCGGCTCTGAACTGCGACGTTTCAAAGAGTGTTTGTGTCTGCATCTGGGGCCCGCCGGCCCGAGGGCAAGAAGGGCTCTAAGTGGCAGAGACGAGTTGGAAAGAACCGAAGATCTGTCGAGCGATTCTGGGCCCGAGCATCGGCTCGTGTTTTCTGTGTTAGGATTCCTTTCGCAGCAGAGCTTTCAGTTCTCTTGCACAGCACAATCACACCACGGCAACGCAAAAGCCGCCTCGGACAAGCGATGGGCGCGTGCCCGTGCACCGGGCATTGCAGCTGCCTTCAAGTAAAGCCGTATCCAAAGAAGAGCTCACTGTACTTCAACAGCAATGTCGACGAAAGCACCCTCTTTTTCTCTACAAGCGATCGCCCGCTTGCCCAAAGATCTACATCACCTTCGGCTAACTCGGATTGATTTGTGTCCGGCGGAGTGGGCATCTGTGCTTTGAGAGGCTTCACAAATTTCAAGAGAAAAGCCGCGTGAACTCCCTTGCCTGTGCATCACTGCAGTTGAAACTTTGTGCACCTGCAGGCGTTTGCACCTCGACGAACGATCCATCTTGAATGTGCGTCTTGCGGAAGAGCCAGCAACCCGTTCTCAGACCTGCCCACCTTGCTCACAGCCACATCTCTGCTACAGCTGAGGAGAAAAACATGCATTCTGAGGCCTCCGCCCTCCTCCGACTGCTCCAACGACCGAGACCGTGTCCAACGCACCTTTGGCATGGACCAGACCGTACATGGATCGGCGAGCCTCACACAGGATGCCGAATGTCTATCATAGCATCTGCCGGTGGTACAAGGTCAGCTGATTCGGAGCACAGCAGGCAATGAAGACCCTCTGCCAACCGCAAGTTGTCGGGTGAGGCTCACAAACAGCAAAGTCCAACGTTGGCACAAGACATGCTGCGATTTGCCCTTGCAGGCTGTGCTGACAAGGCTCAAGCCAGCCGGACACCGCCATGCTGAGCAGAGTAAAGGCTGCTGCTTTCGGAATGTCGGTGGTGGAGAAGGACAGGTCCGTGTCTCCTTAAGGCCGTGACAGTTCATGCAACCCTATTCCAGCAAAAACAGTCAACATGAAAGCAATCTGAACACACTGAACGATGCAAACATCAGCAAGGTGTCGGACTTTGACAGCCGCCACACTGCTCCGTGGAATGATCATCATGTTTTGTTCACCATTATCAGAAAATCGCAGGGCGCGGTCACTTAGGTAGAGTTGGAACTTTCCGTCGAAGTCGGCGAGTGTCAAATTCGAGAGAAAAAGCTGGCTCATGGTGGGAACACCAAGCCAGACGGCAGCAAAAGAAGGCTTGAGCTGCAAATGTCTGCAAGATCCTGCAACTCATGCACAAGACCTGGACTCCGTCTTGTGCAGGCGAGCAGGCCTCCAACCAGCGCACAGCAGCCTCATGGTTGCTGTTGACATCCAAATACTCTAGAACATCTTGCAAACATAGTTGGAAACAACTGACATCATCTTGTCAAGGGTGTAAACTGTTTAATATCGTTTAATGAAGACTCCTGTCAGAGGCACACAAACCGTTTGCATAATGTGCTTTCGTTGAAGTGAACCGAATAATGGAAACGGGAATCAAAGAGCAGTCAATGTGAAGATCCCACTGCAGGTGCAGACGCAGGTTCACCCTGATCGCAGTTCATAGACGGGTAAAGGACTGGCTGCCAGCCGGCGACTTGGGCAATGCAGCATGGTCAGCATGGTTCTCAAGAGTGGAAAGAAACCCAATCGCCTTATGCCACAGCTTCTGCGTTTCAAGCACAATGTCAGGTCAAAAGCAGTGAACGTGATGAGCAAGGTGGTCAAGTGTGCAGAAAAGACTTGACTTTCCCTTCCAACGTAACATGTGCTGCATGAAACACAACATCCTGACAAGTCTGCCTGTTCAAGTAGATTATCCAACTGTCGAAACAGGCAACGCGCATCCAGAATTTCAGGTGTCAGTTACGTTCAATACCGTACGGAATTATGGCCAACCTCGACCTTCATTTCTGCCCACCGAAAGCGCCACTAAGACCACAGGAGCCCATGAGACATGCCGGCCGTGAAGGCTATACCGGCAACAGATTTGTTACCACCACGGCCACTTGCTAAGGACACAGTCAATTTGACGTTGCACATGCGCACACATACAGAGACTCTTGCATCCATTCCGAATCCCACGCCAAGTGGGTGAATAACCATGTGACTTGCTCAAAGGTGCACGCTGTTCTCACTGTGGTGCCTTAAAGCTCGATCGTGCAGAATCTTGTTTCGAAGGACACATTATTGCGAACGTCGTGTGCTGCTGCTTTTCTTAAACATGCCGAAAGCCTCTCGGCCATAGAATGTGACACACAGAGGAAACCAATTTGCTGGGCCGACGTACAGCAACTCCCGCCAAAAAGCCCAATTGCGATTGCCTCGCTCCTTCGGGGAGGCTGGAGTGTTGTGAATCATGGCTACGGATGGTGGAAGGGTCATCGGAATTTTGTCGACCATATCAACCAGGTCGATCTCGGACTCTTCGGCCCCGTCTTTCATGCACCTCATGCAAAAGCTGCCCCTCCGTTCGTAACCCGTGTCAAGTCCTGTGCGCGAGCATCCTGATTCGCACAGCAAATGCGGAAAATGTGCGAACGACATACAAACAGAGTGCAATCTTTGCCCGACATGGCTGTACTGCAGACGTTTTGCCTTCCACAACTTGTGCAATAGCGTGTACGATGATAACCTATCTGATCAAGTTCCACCGAGAAGACATCTAGTCTGGAAGCCACAAAGATCTTATGATTGGCCCGATCACGTCCAGCTACTCAAGCAGGATCTCCAATTCACGACCGTACAGACCGTACATTTGCCACGTGCAGCCTGCATTCACTCTTGCTGTAGGCCGCAGTCACCCGTGGGGAATGTGTAGTTGCACACACATACGATCACACCCTCTCATGTGAACGGCATAAGAGTTTCGCCACAACACAACAGCATAAAACAAAGACCAGCACCAGGTGCGCACAGAAGCCATAACCCTCACGCTGATACGTATGGCAAGGAACTGCTTCGAATCAGGCCACGGGCTTGGACTTCCCAAACAGAATAAACTTCAAGTTTGAAAGCCCTAAACCCTGATCATTACAAGGCATCTTGGTTTGGCATCTTGGTTTGCCAGGTGCACGGTGCATGCTCAGGTAAATTTTGCCACAGCGGTCTGTCCATAGGACCACACTGCCGTACTTTGCAGCAATGACAGTGGCAGCAGCAGCTTCGCAGGTTTCGCAACGCTTGTTTTTCGAGCGTCAGTCACATGGGAAACGGCCCCCCCCAATGCCAGGGCTACCTGAGCTCGCAACGCCACAGGAGAGCCCCCAACCGAAAACGGGGGCAACCGGATCGAAGTCGTTTGTGCTCGCCATCACGCTGGAGGACCAAGCCGCCACCCAGACAAACGCGAACCTTTTGAAGCCCGTCAAGACTACAGACGCACCGCTACTGGTACGAGGGTGTCACAAAAGCATCATCAGGCCAGAGCTCTACGGCAAGGTGGCAGGGCTACACTGCATCAGCGACAAGGTGTTCGAGGCTCAGCGAAACCTGGATTTCATGATTCCGGACCACAGATCCAACCAGAAACCCGCCGCCAACATGGCGGATGTCGTGCGCGCACAGGGCCCTAGCAAAAAAGACTGATTCAAGCTTAACGGCGAGCGTGACGTTTCGCAGATGGAGTTTAGCAGCGAACAAATCGACTGTATTATCTTATAAGCGTGTACGCATCGCGTCGCGCACAAGCACTCCTACGATGACATCTCAACAAGTACGAAGAGACACTCTATGACGCGCTTGAAAACTCACAAGGCCGCTCGCAAACTTCTCGCAAAGGCATCAGGGCTTGGTTCTTTCTAGCTGACTGGCCCTCCGAAAGCACGCGAAAAGCTTGCAACAAGACAGCTCATAGGCCATAGGCACACGCGCCTCGTTGGAGTCGCTCGTCTGCTGAGCTTGCACCGGATGCTCCCCTGAGGCCTGCATGCTTCGATGCAATATGAGCAGAGCGGCTGGTATTTTCGCGTTCGGAACCTCGTCGTCTGGGAGAAGTGCGACGAGCCTCCGGCCTGTAGCTGCATCCCTATCTCTTTCCTTGCCTGCCCGGTGGCATCCATGGCTAGGCTCTGGGCCTTGGCGCAAGACCCCCCGGTCGTTGAAGAGAGCCAGCACCTATCAGCAGAACGGCGATGGGGACTACAGACGGGCACAAACGGCCTCGGCAAGGCGCACCCCTCGGTGCATGCCCTTTGGACAAGCGTCTGTACCTGGCGAGAGTGGTCTGAAAGCTCCAGTCCCTGCAGCACATCTGAGCAACTGCAGGGGCGCACTAGGAGGCCTCAATCGAAACGCGAAGTGGCTGTCTCTAGGCAGATCACGCACCTTCCCGACACCAATGTTCAGACATGATGGATGAGACGTCGATAAATCTCCGCTGCATTAGCTCACCGGGCCTTGATCGCAAATATGAACTGTTGAGATCTGAAGTCCCCGTGCCTTGGCTTGTCACCCTTCTTTTGTAGGCTGGGGCTAAGGCACGGCAAAGACTCGGGCTCGGGTGCTGCGTCGAAGATGGCTTTGGAAGAGCGCAAGGTGCAGAAGACCTTCTTGTCGAGCACCAGATCGACCTGCCGTGTCTAGTGGGAGATTTCGGCCTCCAGCCCTGGCCCTGTCAGTCCTCGATGTCAAGGGGTTCGTCACCAACCAGCTCCTTCTCACTCCAAGATATCAATTCCTCACCACCCCGCTCTGCTCCGCTTCCTCTGCCAAGCGCCGTGGCACCAGGCGCTCGGCACGGCAGCGCCTTCGGACAGCAAACAAAACGCGAAGGCATGCGACTTTGGCCATGACCGGGCATCCGGGCACGAGCGCGCTGGCGTCGGCGCTCAGGACGAAGCGGCAGAGGCCAGGGAGCGCAGCCCTGGCAGGGACATATGAAAAGCAGAGGACATCTTCAGCCCACCTGAGAGCCCAGAGCCATCTCAGAGAGCCTTTGGGACATTTTCGGCGCACCGCAGCCTTGGCCTTGGCTGCAATCGACTGGTAACTCAGTGCCAAGGCCGGCATGGCGCTACAGCCAAATTGACATTGACACTCGAGTATGCTCAGCGTCCAGCTTGGGCACCGCAAGTCGCAAAAGGTACAACATCTTCTTTACGGAGTCTGCTGAGTGTCACGTGTATCACAGCTCTCGATGGTCTAGAGTCTAGATGGCAAGGCTTCAATCTCAGCCGAGACCGTCGACATGTCGTGTGCTGCTGAACAGTCCGGGCAGTGACGGCTTCTGCCCTTCTCAGAGGCTTCCGAAGGTCGGGTCAGAGGTGTTTAGGGAGCTGGGCTCGCAGCGATAAACTTGCTTCCACACTCTCAAAAATCTGTCTGAAGCTCCATTGCTTCGGAGACACCACATGTCAGGATGGCAATTTGAAACCTGTGCAGTCTGCTAGAGACCACACTTCCATCAAGCCCGAGGCACACAGTCAAGCACAACTGGGGCAAGGGGGAATCCTCATCTCTTGTAGCTGCTGCCGCTGCCAATCGAGGCAGGCGGTAGAAGCCCTGCAAAGCAGACACGAGAGGCCTTCAGCTACGTCAACCAGACAAGACCGCACCTGCTCTTCGGCGGCAGCGCTGAATTCGTATGGTGCCCCAGCAAGAACCTATGGTGCCCCACGCTGACAATTTCAAGGAGGCCAGGACCAACTGAGGCGGCCACATCGAGGACGTCAGCACGAATGGTGGGGCAATCCTGTGGCGAACTGCGATCCAAATACGAAATCACAAGCCGAGGTGTGAAAAATCTAAGCCAGCGGCCAGCGCGCGGTCGATCAGCTGTCGAAAGCTCGGGCCCGCCTGCAATGGTCTCGAGTGTTTCTCGGTTTCACGGTGCCCAGTGCAGGACTGTGGCTGAATTTTTGCCTCAGGCTCCCTCTCCACCGTTGCCAGACCTTGCAGCAAGAGCTGCCTGCCCGGCCTGCCCTGCAACAATTGCTCTGTCGTGTCCAGGCATCCGACTCGTGATCGTCGCATTGGTGTCCTGAACATGCTGTGTAGCCTAGTCCTTTTCGTTCAGCGATCTGAACTGCAGAGCTTGCCTCCGCTTCTGGCTTCGCCATTCCGCGTGTAAGCGACAGCCAACATGGCCTCAGGACTGCGTCGATAGCATGTTGATGAACACAGCATGCTGGACACTTTGCTTCAGCAAAGCACTAGGCAGCCTGCCGCAAACAGGCGAAAGCCAACATCGCAACACCAGCCACAAGGCCAAACCTGGCAATAAGATGTGGGCTGACAGGCCATGCTGTTCATACTGCTGGCTTTGCGTTCGGGATGGGTCGCAGGTTGTCGCACTTGCTTGACGGGATTGACAGGTATCATAAATCCCCTGACTCTGCTTGGCAAGTGTCATGACGTCACCGGACGAAAGCTGAGTAGCACACCTCTGTCCCGAAGTCGTTCGTCGAATCTTTTCCTCTCGGGACAGCTGGGTGCTAGATATTTGAAAGGAACGACGTATGAGCTCTTTGTCAATGTATCTCGACAGAAGTTGTGCTGCCCGCAACCACCCCCGTTCAGCATCTCGTACGATTTGCTTGGCGTCACCACGTTGCGATTCAGATTCAGAATCCCGGAGTCAGAGCGGAGCTTGCACAGGTTTCACACACATTCTATACATTAATTATGTACACAGTCTATACATTACATCATTCCGTCACCTAACAGCTGGCACGTGCTATAGCTTGTCACGAGCAACTTCCATCAGTGTCACAATCACGACTTAGAAGCGAAAAGTCTGCCACACTATACTACATAGACTCTAAGAGCCTCTGCACCGTGACCCTAATGCCGCAGCTGGACCTGTAGAGGGAGGGTGCAGAGTGGGTTGATGGCAATTGGCCCTCATGCTAGAGGTGAGAGCGTGTAAGGGAAACAGACTTCGGAGAATGCGCGGTAGCAAACTGGGCATCAGCGAACCCTGAAACTTAAATGTGGAGGGGATTGAGGGTAGCAAACCATGATTTCCTTCATCCGAGCGGGGTTCATGGAATGGGTCCTCGGAGGCCATCTCTGCCCCTGCAGATTACAACAGGAACAGACTCTCTAAGGCTTATTGTAATGGCGGAAACGTCTTCCACACTCCAAACTGTGTCAACCTCAGCCTTCGCGGTCAAAATTCGCATCATCAACCGCTTCGACCAGAGAGGGCCGGAAGACTTGAACAATTGCTGCCATGAATTCACGATAGCCTTGGCATTAAAAAGACACCCAGATACCTCTCCTGTGGTGGGAAGTCGGGGTCAGCCCTCGCTGCAGCCGGAGGCCGAGATCCTGAACAGGTGCGCAAAAGCTTTTCCTGTGTGTTCCAAATGCTAAGAACTCATGATGAAAATGTGATATGTTAGCATAACTGTGCTTCGGTTTCTGCGGGCCTTTCTGTGACACCGGCTGAGGCGTGGCCTCGAATGTGCCAGAAATGAAGGCTCTCCAGCTACAGTCCCTCGAAATCAGCAAAGGCTGGGCCTCATGGAACCGACAAGATCGGCAAGCTGCAAAGAGGATGCTGGGAGGTGGGTCCCGAAACTCTCGCAGTGCTACCCACGGCACGCTTTCTTAGCTCAACCACATGGCGAAGACGCTGGTACTCTTAATAAGTCGAGGCAAAGCCCTCCAGCGCAGGAGGCGATGAACCCATTGGGGTAAGAGGTCTAGCTCAGTGGACTGCGGGATGTCAAACAGATTAGGGAAGTTCGTAGACAAGAACACCAACCTGATCATCACAGGAGCAGGAGACGCTAAGCAACTGAGCGGTGAACAACAATCAATGACAATCAACTATTGATGGCATCTTCGAGCAGGGTGTAAACCAAAGGAGTTGAAGAGAAGCTTCAGCAAAAACAACTTCGCATGTCCAAACGGCACATGCAGGGAAATAACGAAGGTGGGGATAAGGAAAATCCCAACCAGCTCTAGCGAGCATGAGGTCGGAGAAGTGGTGAAATGCCGAGGGTCGATGAGCTGTGAGTTTAATAAGTCTAAAGCCAGTTTCGGCATGTCATCCAACACATATAGCACGATACAGCCATTTCATGCGATAAAGGTAGAAGAAATCGCAAGAGATTCCAATAGATCCTTCAGGAAGCACTTCATGTTCACATATTGCTGCACCTGCCACAGTGTCCAAGGCAGTAGCATAGAGTCTCGGCATAGAGGATGCTGTAACGATCTTGGCTCTCCACAGCGAGGCCCTGTTCTAAAAAAAAGTGCATTTCTATAAGTATAGTTCGGATGTGAAGGACGATGCTTTTAAACCTGCGCATACCTATGTGCGTCAAAAGGCTACGTAATGCAAAGAGCAATACCACTCGGCAAAGAGGAAGGTAAACACAAGGATTTTAAAACAGCCGACTGGCTCATGGAAAAGAGCAAGTGGCTGTTGGGTGAAATGCGGAATCGAGCTTCACCTGAAAATGGTGAAGGGAAATATACACACCGACCTGAAGGCACAACGAGTCAATAACGACATATGCCATTCGATCGAGAACTGTGCAGCATACTGAACGAACTGTGTCTGCGCAGCGGGCAAAAAAGCTGAAACAAAAGTATGGGCTTTTGTTCTCACAGAGGATTGGACCTACGACTCCCGAATCGACTCTTAGATCCGGTGGACCCGAAGCTGACTGAGCACGTGCCCCGACTGTCTGCTGTGCCAGCAGGTCCCCGCCCGTGCGCACCAAAATTCCCAAAATCTGTGCAACTAGCTGCCCCGGCTCCCCATAGATGCCAGGACTGTAGGAATCCCTGGTCATTCCTTCGCTCAAGTAGGACCAATTGGCCTCTGCAAAGGTCGGAGCATGTCGGAGTATGGTCGAGATCTCCCGTCAGCCTATCTTGCCCGGCGACATCCAAAAGCCCTCATGTTGCAAATGCAGATCTGTAACGTTTTTGAGGGAGTCTCGCCTGACCATTCAGCCGCCGTCGTTTTAGATGATTTCAGCAGCCGTGTTAAAGACTGGCAGCATCTCGGAGTTGCTGCGTGTTTGCCCCTCTCGGAGTGCATGTGCGTCTGCAATTCCAGGATCTCTTGCCAAAATCTTGCTGATAATTTTGCCGTGCAAGTTAGGGTTGGTCGCCATGGGTCGGATGTACAAGAAGTGCCGAGCTTTGTCATATTGTGTTTTTGACGATGCTGGTCGCAAGACTTGGCATCATAAGTAAGCGTCTACGCTTGACGTGCTACCCCCCACTCGAATAGACTTGTGTCGAGACTCCAAACTCCACTGTTTTACGACGCCGTTCACTGAGGAGACGAGACTCGGCGACTGCTGAGGAAGTGCTTGGAATCTGCACCGAGCAGAGGACCGGCACAGGTGACTGTGCTCGCCTGAGCCAGTTTGATGGCAACTGGAGCTCAGACCCTGGGAGCTAGGATGCAACTAGTGGCCCTACAAGTGGAATGATTCTTGACGAAGCACTTGCATCAGGCTGTGGAGCATCGTGGCGGTGCCCGGATGTGCCCGGCCTGCGCAGCGGGGTGGCCACCTCTTCTAAGCGGTCCGTCCGTCGCTCGGCCTGGACCAAGCAAGGCGTCGCAAGAGGAGCTGACTTTTTTTGCTGATTCCTGCGTGGTTGCTGGCCTGGGCATCCATGTCGCGACAGCAACTCCGACAAAGGCTTCCTACCTCCGCCACTGTATCAGACAATCCTGCAGTGACAAAAAAATCATCAAGCGGTACTTCTCCACAACTTTCAGGCTTGCAGCTTCCATGGTATCACATACCTGTGCCGCACACCGTCTGCCCAAATCTCACGCAAGCCGATCAAACTTCATGAAATCGTTACCAGTATAATGCAAGAGTACCCGCATTGGAAGGAAACTCAATGTCCGCTGTGATGACAAGGTGCGTTCCCTCTGCTTGTTCATGAATAAAAGATTTGTCCGCACCTCTTGAAGACTTCTTTGAATACTCATTTTGGTAGACCACTGATTTGAGCGATCACCCGAATCCCTCAAGTCACCGGTCTGTCAACGAAATGACATCCACAGCGTGACCCACTGGGGCAGGCGAAGCCTTCCAAGGGTTTACAGCTGCAGGAGCCACGAAGTAACGAACTTCCGGCCTGGCCTACTTGGGATCGAGAAGATACATTTGAGAAGAAGCCCCATGAAGCGTCAATTTGCAAGGTGCAGCAAGAGACACCCCAAAGCCTCCGGCATCATGCCATGCGCTTTTCACCCAGCTCCATCTCACTGTCGCAAGCTTTTCGTTCGTGCGGACCAGGCCAACACACCAGCTGCAACACCAAGTATCAGTGGACGTTCTGCTTGAGTGCCCTCGGCTTCCTACTCACACGGCTCGTCGCATCATGCGGGTCTCTCCCAGCATGATTCACCAGTCCTTCTGGGATTGCAAAAGAGCACACATTGGACTGCCATCTTGAATACTTTTGACCACAGCCGCACCGCACCTGCTGTTGTAGTAAAATCTCCTGTCGAGGCGGTGCGAGAGTGCCGCTTTTGTTGGGGAAGGCCACGTGATGGCAGCTGGTGCTTCTGAGGCAAAGGCTTTCCCGGAGCACTCCTGGACTGCATCAGTACCCAGCCACCCCACAGCGGCATGGCCTCTCAGGGCTCCATCAAGCTTGAAATGCTTGTCCTGAGTGTGAACCGAGGCTCCCACACCGTTGCCCGGAGGTTTGCTTCTCTCTGAAGCCACCATGCTATTCACATGGGAAACCTGGCGAGGTGGACAGGGCAGCAGAGCACAGCCAAAAGAATCGAAGCATGAAACGGATGGGGCCAGGGCGATCCAAGACATTCTCCACATCACCTGCACTCAAGCGTTGCCTAGCTTGTACTCTAGGGGTCACTAGCTCCGCCTCCTCCCATGAGTCTTTTCGGTGCTCTGAAGGTGGATCCACTGCAGCGTCAAACTGCAGCAGTCGCGGATCCACACTGTTGCCGTAGTTGCAGGTAGTCCAAGGCCTCATAATCGCTGTTGCTGCGCTCCTGGCATGTTCTTGCATGCTCAAGCTGTCAATGCACAGCAATGAACGACCTGTAGGATTGCTTGACAAAGCAAGAAGACTGCTTCTTCAACGGAAAGCTGACTTTGCAAAGAGACTGCCCGTGATGCCGCTTGATTGTCGGCAACGAGCAGATAGCGATGGTCCCGAGACCACGCTGAATTGAGTGAATTCTGGCTACAAGCTGCTGAGGCTGTCAGCCACAGGTATTGTCTGAGCAACTTCAGCCATGACAGGAACAATGCCTGTCTGCAACTTGGGTGAGCATCCATTAACGTGCTCCCAGCAGTCTTCTGACCAGTTCATGCATCTCTTGGATACTGACCGAACTTGTAGCATACTGACCGAACTTGTAGCACCCGAAAAGTTACGAAAGGCTGCTGGGCTTCTCTGAGTTCGAACGAACAGGCACCCGGCACTCCTCTGTGGACTCTGGCTCTCCGGAGGGGGACACTTGATGAGGATTTCCCTTTCCCTGGTTCTTGCTGCGGAGTTGGTGCCTGGTGCTGTCCATCAGGCGCTCCAGACAGGGCACCTGCCACACATCCGCAGGTAGACTGCTACGATACTTCGGACAGTGCTGCGCTTCAGGCCTCCATGCTTACTACAGGCAAGTCTACGGGACGCTGCACATGAAAGCAGCCCACCTTCCGATCTGCGTCAAGGAAATGGACGATGTCATCCAGTTGCAAATCGTCAACCATAGATGCAGCTCCAACGAATTCTGCGAGCGAAATCTTTCCAGACTCGTCAACATCGAAGCCAGTCATGGTCGCTCGCCAGAGACGCTCCATTTCTTTCTGCTGCAAGGTTCCATCTCGTATCTGCACATCATAGAGCTCCTGCAAATACTTTTCCAGACTGACCTTATCCAACGAACCGCTGCTCGATAGGACGCTGTAGGCAGCATGAGAGCTCAGCATCCGCGCCTGCGTTTTACGCAGATGGTCGTAGATGTCGAAAGGTCTGCAAGTCTCTCTTCGATAGATCTGGGAAGGCACCCCCAGCATGAACTCTACCAGGTAGCGCATCAGCAGCGCCGGCAACCCGAACAGGACAGTTGCCGAGATGATCCAGGTCATGATGGGCGTGTGAGAAAAGAAGCGAAAGTCACCCTCGATCCTAAAGCGGGGAGTCACTCCATACATATAGATCTGATGCTCGGCCACCATGGATGTCCCGGCGGGCCCACCGGGCCCAAGCACAAGCTTCTGGACCTCCACATTGGAATTCCATGCGGCATGTGCCTTGACCGTGATGTAGCAGACCACGCCTTTGTGCGCTTCTCTGTGTGCACCATGACTCAAGTAGTTCAAGCTGAAGTCCAGTATGAAGCCCATTGTTCGCAGGTGCCGCGCCAAGTTGGGACTGCCGTTCTGACTTGTCAGATGCAGCGGATCCGTGTCTAAGTCGATCCCGGCACAACGTATCCAATCTCTCAGCGGTGCCCCAATACCGATTGCTGCCTCCGCCTCACTCCAGGAAGATTGCCCACCGACATCGCAAAGGGAGCCGTCGACAGCTAAAAGGATAGTCTGAACGCTCCCCCACTCAGGGAGGCCAAACAATGGCAACGTGGTGCTCCCATCGAGTGTGGGAACGAAGTAGTTGTGAGTGAAGACTAAGACTTCGTCCTCTGGATACTGCGCGAAATAGCTGTCTTTCAAATTGCAGATACAAGTGGTGTTGCTCACCTCCTCCCACGAAATTTCTCCATGTTCTGAAACATCGGTTGGCCGTGCCATGTTCATGCAAGCGAGCCTGCTCTGCTCAGTGCAGTTTGAATGTTTCCACATGTAGGTTTCTTCCACGTAGGATGGGAAGTGAAGCCAATCACCTTGCTTGCGGAAGGCACTGCTGCCCACGAGCTGCCGACAAGACCGCGGCCTGTACTGCCACGACTCGTCGAAAATTGTGTCATACTGCTCGGGATTGGTGCAATGGTTCCGCGCGGCATGATCCACCTTCGGCGGATTGCGCCACACGGTGACGGAGCCGGAGGAGATGCGAAGCTTCCCATGCCATGCCTCCGTCGAGATGAAGTCAAAGATCACGTACGCCAACGTGGCAAGGACGCCAATTAAGTACAATACCGCTACCCGCTTGCTCTGTATGGAGACCCGCCGTGGGACCTCGACCCACAGCCATGGCCAGGGATCCAACCACTCGGATAGGGTCATGCCCGGTAGTCAGTGCTCTTTCTCGGCTACTTGTAGAGATCCTTAAAGCTAGATCAGGAAACCTTCTCGGCAGAGTAATGGCAGCTTGAGTCGGAGCTGTTTCCGGAAGTGCTGGTGACCCAGACGCAGACTTTAGCATACCAACAGCTTGCTTAGAGATTCATCTTGTGTCGATTTGTCTCGTCTCGATCTGAGAATGAAGCTGAATCCGAAAGCAGTTCGCACCGCGAAGAAAAACCTTGAAAGTTGCAAACCAAGAAGTTCAACGGGCCTCTAGGCTCCTGATGCTCTTGCAACATCTTGCAAACATAAGGCTCCCGCCATCACGGCTCCGCTGCTCTGCGGCGAAGGCTCGAGAAGCTCTGCTGCACTTAAGTTCAAAAGCAGACTCCTCCAGAAAGAACTGCCCCCTTAAAAAACTGCGCTCCTTATGCTTTCCAACGTCCATCGGATTGCTGCTTGCTATTGTTTGCTCACGGCGGATGTCGGCAGATACCAGCCAAAAGCAGTATGTGCAGGCTGATGTCAGGCCGGCAGTCAGATGCGGTATGCTGAGTCAACGCATCTAGCCGCTCGTTCTCTGCGAGATCATGCGTATGTGAACCGTGCACTCCGAGCGCATCGAGCTTGATGCCGGGCCGGACTCAGCTCAATTGTGGGCATCTGCCACCTGGTCACCTTGGGCGCTTCTGAACAATCAGCGGTGGTATATCAGTTTTAACTCTAGAGTCAAGGTGACAAAAGAGGTTAGGTCATGTTCGCTTGTCTGGGGATGCCACTCTGCTTCGCCACCTTTCGCTGAGGGCTTGTAGGTCCAGCCAGGGCAAACCTGCGAGGTTCCGGGCCTCACTCAGCCAGGTCGACCCTCGCGTCGCTTGGCCGGAAATGGCGACTCTGGTTTGTCAAAGATCTGTCCGTCCAGAGATGGCCCTGTGCGGGGCAGAGGAATCGAAGCGACGTCAGGTGAGCATCTGCCTGAGGCCTCTGGACAGATGAGTGCGTCATCTCATCACGCACGTCGACCTGAAGAAGGCTGCATGGAAGGGCGAGCGACTCTGGAAGCTGCCTCAGGAAAGGGGCCCGGCATCCTGGAAAAAGGCATAAGGGCCTGGAAGTGGGCCTGCCAAGACCTTCATGTCACTGCAAGGTGGAGCTTGGAAGGATGTGCGTGATCATGTGCTCAGGATCCAACGCCTATGAGCATTCCAGCTGCCTGGGTGCATCTTCTTCTTTGGAAATCCATCGAAAAGTTGCTGAGGCCGTCACTAGCGCGCCGCCACAGCCCGTCGTTAAGCGACTTCCACCTCGGAAACGGAAATGCTACAAAGCCTAAGCGCCACTGTGCGAACGAAGTGGCCATCGGAGAAGACCGGGCACCTGGCCCGCGCCCTTCGCACGAGGAACGTTTGAGGTTACAGGCAACGCACCATACCGCAATCAAATTCTGCCTTCACACAAAGCCAACAACACAGTGGTGGCAAAACGAGGATGGCCTTGCGAGCAAATTTGCTAAGTTTCAGATGCCGTTGGGAAATGTCGATCGACCAGCTCGGTGCCAAACGAGGCTTGTCACTTGTCCTGAACGTGATGCTGCGGCATGCTCGTATATAGTCATGTAGTCATAGACACCTCGTGTGCGTGTTCATTTTCGGAAACAAGCTGAGACGGTTGCGAGGAACCACAGCAAGGAATTCGCTAGCAAGCCGATGTGCCTGGATGAAACGTGGCTTCCGCAGATGCCGTCTGCTTCTCAGCTCTCTGTGATTCCCGCTTCGTTTCCGTAACACAGCGTGTTCAGGTCTGCCATCACTGCCTGGAGATGGCTGGACTTGCTGGCTTCCGTGTGCGGCCTGGCCGCCTGGCCCTGGGACTTAGCAGGCCACGCATCCACAAACAGCAGCCGCGGCTGTGAGGACCTTGCAAATCCGGGATCTCAGGGCGGCCTAGGCCTACGCTCTGGGTAGCCAGCGAAGAGGAGGAGACAGCGCACAAGGACAGAGATAGCCGCGCTCGCGTTCAATAAGTCCATGCTTTGAGAACCTCACTAGCTCGTAGGCAGAAGCGGCCATGCAATGCGCGACTGAGGCCAAGGCCTGCGACTAAATCGGCATCGAAAGGAGCGCGACAACCGAGCTCTTTTCGAGCTTCACTGAGCGATACAAACTACAAACAACCACAGACAAAACTCGGGAAGGCAGGTGCCTTGTAATTGTAGTGAAAGCGTTACGAGGGGCCTCAAACTGGAACACTTCGCTCGAGCCATGAGCACGTCAAGGCCCGGTTTCGTCAAGGCTCGGCTGGCATTGTCAAGGCAGGCAAAAGCCTTTTCAGCTAAGGACTTCCGACACAGGTTCCATGTTGCGCTCAAGTCACCAGGAACGCCCACCTCGCAAGAGTTTCGAGGCATGATTCATGTGCAAGAAAACACTTGACTTAGCACCGACTGGGCACTCGGCATAAATGCCAACAGGATGCTGCCTGCCGGCAGCACTTTCAATGCGGCATAAAGTCAATTGCGCTCGTCTACATCCAAAGAGACTCAACCAAAAAGAGGTGTGCCTGAGCTCGCTTAAATACTTCTCTGGAAGGTAGAAACCCCACTCCTTAGTCTGGCATCACCGGGTACAAGGCGGCCACAAACTTCCTTGCGAGCGGCAGATGATCCGTGACGAACCAGCAGTCTTCCGTCCTGGCAATGTACATTGAATCATGCGTCGCGTCTGCCACCGTCTCGTCGCCTCTTCCAACTGCACGCTGTACTTCGCCGCGCCGCCTTTGTCTCCGTTGTCCTTCATCTTGCCGTGTCCCCAAGGCCCCAGGGTTCGGTTCACAGTCATGGGAGATCTCCTGCTGCGGAGAGCCGTCGAAGGCTGTCAGCGCAACAAAGCTTCCCTCAGATACCCACCTCAAACACGCACGGGACACCGGGACACGGGTCTTGCGGTCTCGCCAGAATTCGAAGAAGAAGCAACACAAGCCAGGGAGCCGGCCGAGCAGCGGACCAGGTGCCGCCGTGTGCCCCGGCCACGATCTGCCGCCAGTCAGCCAGTGTCAGAAGTATGTCCGGCCATCGCAGGGACGTACGAGCACCTCGAGGGAGTTCAAGGGCCCTTGACCTCAGGATGGCTTAGGGGAAAGAGAAGCATCCAGCGGACAAAGCTTAAGCGCACTCAGGTTTCTGGCCCATGAGCAGATGAGCATCGGATTTGGCGGTCGTTTCCACCTGCTGATCGAAACCCGTTACCCAATGCGATGGAGACAGCGCCAAGAGCTACAAGAGACCTCGAGGTGGAAAGGCGGAGGCAGTGGCTTCATGTTCAGGGTCTTGTACAAGACCTTGTGGCCCTCCCGCCTCGGAAAATTCTCTGAGCATTGCTGATAGCGGCATCTGCTCGGGCCCCGAGCAGCTCGTTTCGCGCACTGCAGCACATGCTGACGTCCCTCCTGAAGCAAACCTTCGGGTCTGGAACATCTGCCCAAGCGACGATAAAAACGAACCCAGTTGAGCTGCAAACCTCGCCACCGTACAGCTCTACCATTTGGCCCGCTGCCTGATGGAAATATTCAACACGGTAGACCGTAGAGCACCAGGTGAGCTGCACCAATCAGCGTCTCTTTGTGCGTGCCCCTTGTACATGACGACTTTGTTCAGCGAAGCGAGACTCCTGCAGTGAACATGACGCACAGGGTTGTTCGGGGAGTCTAAAGTCTCCGTTGATCCTTCTGCCAGAGTTGGCGCGTGAGTGTCTCTTGCAGCCTGCATAGGACAGAAGTTGACGCAGAGGATTTCAGGCCTCTCCCATTGCATTCGGAGCCAAGCCAAGGACTCCTTTTCTTCCCAGTCGTTGAAAGGCGAGTGGTAGCCTCGAATCAGTGAAGACGATGAACCCTTGTGCCAGAGTGAGTCTGTGTATTTGTGGGTACAGATTTGTGCGTCAAGGAGCAGGGATACCGACATTTTGGAATCCAAACCCCATGGTTCTGATCAGGTTTCGTGGCATGAAAGTGGAGAACCTTCGTTGTATACAGCCCACAGAGTCTGCGAGATCTCAGGATGCCAAGCTTTCAGGTCGCCTTACTTCTCACGACTGCTATGTTAACAGGCCGTTGCCCTTGCCACTCGGTCGGGATACTGACCAGCATTAGAGCTGTGCTTCGAAGCTCCGGTCACAACTAGGCTCTGCGGGACCCTCCGGTGCTGGGCCGTACAAGCTCATCGCCATCGCCAACTGCCTCATACAATCTTAAGCTTCGAGGCAAAAAGATGTTTGCCTTTTTCGAAATTACAGCCTCCCTTTCCCTCAATATAATCCGCTTCGTTGGGTGGTCCGTGGATTGAACATACATGCCCGCTTTTAAAGGTTTAAGCATTTGAGATTGGATCGGCCATGTTGGGCGGCAAACAGAGAAAGAGAGAGAGAGAGAGACAGAGAGAGAGAGAGAGAGAGAGAGAGAGAGAGAGAGCGAGCGAGCGAGCGCGAGAGCGAGTGCGAGTGCTCAAAGCCGGCGTCGCTCCGTAAGCTCCTCTCTTCCTGTCTTTTCGGGCGCCTGGTACAACCCAACCCGTCCTTTTGCCACAGCCTGAGCAGTCTCGGGCCAGGGGTTCGGGGAACTACGCGACCTCGTGCAGGACCTTCACACCAGTGGGTTCGCTGGCAGTGAAGTGAACACGGGGCGAAGTGAGAATGCCCTGACGAACTAGCCGGTGGGTGTCAACCCATAATGAAGTTAGCGACCGTTACCTTGTCTGTCTCTGCTGTCTCTAACTCTGGCCGCGTTGTGGCTGCGCGATGGATGTCTAAGTGTGTGTGTGGGCCGGGGGAGGGGCTGCGTTCATTTGAAAAACCTGGCCAACTAAACACGTATGGATGGCGTTCCAAATGTAGCGAAATCCAACGCCATGCTTGCAACTACTGCCAGTTGGTGTGCACGGGCCATGTCAATCTTCGGGAGGACGTTTCAGTTTGAGTTACCAAACCTTCGCAAAAAGTCAGACGACCTCTTCCCAGGTTATTCCAACCCCCTTCTCGCGCTCCAGCTTGTATAGGATCACTATTTTCATAATTACACCAGCGAAGACCCCAAACAGAATGCATCGAATCACAACGGTTCAAGTTGGAATGTGTTGGATCCCAATCTGGCTTCGCCAGCAGATTTTGCGAACAAGAATTAGGCATTGGGCGATATATTTCTGCGAAAGAAGAGTGGGTGGTGGGACTCAAGCATGTGGGAAGGTTTTTGGGAGGGTCGAAAGAGCATCGTTCAGAGGACCTTGCTGCAACACCATGCACAGAAACATGCACGTGTCTCCCGCAACTGCCACATTGCTGCCGCCTTTGCAAAACAGGATACCTGGCCTCAGGCAAACAAAAAGCTCTCTTAACACGGAACCATTCGCGTTTTCTCTGCTGACCGAACGAAGAGCATTGTCCACAGGATTTTGTTGCCGCAGGAACCGCACAAAGAAAAAACGCCACTTCTCCACAATTTTCATAACATTACCGTTCTGCAAAACAGGATTCCTTGCCTCCGCAGTAGACATTGGAGGAAGAAGCACAACAGAGGGTGCTATATGGATCGGTTGGCTGTCGCACGGGAAAAAAGTGAGAACTTTGCCGCGCAATTTTGGCGAAAAGAAGCGCGCACAGGGGTGCGTCGGCTTACAACACAAAACAAAAATCTTTCTTTACACGGAACTTTTCACGACTTTTTCCGCAAACCGAACGAAGATCCATAGAATCTTGCTACCGCAGAAACCACGCACGGAAAAAACACGCAACATTGCCGTTTTGCGAGACAGGATATGTGGCCTCTGCTGTAGACGTCTGTGGAAGAAGCACGAAAGAGGTTGGTATACAGATCGGTTGGCTGCCACACGGGAGAAGGTAGGAACTTTGCCGCGCGAACCTGGGAAAAAGAAACGCAACGGGGTTTGTCGGCTTACATCGCAAACAAAAATCTTTCTTTACACGAAACCGTTGACGATTTTTCCGCCGACAAAACGAAGAACGTCGTCCACAGGATCTTGCTGCCGCAGAAACCACGCACGGAGAAACACACAAGTTCCCCTTTACACGGAACCATTGACGATTTTTTCCGCAGACAAAACGAAGAACGTCGTCCACAGGATCTTGCTGCCGCAGAAACCACGCGCGGAAGAACACACAACCTTCCCGCAACTGTTACAACATTGCTGCCTTGCAAGACAGGATACCGGATACCTGGCCTCTGCTGTAGACGTTTGTGGAAGAATCACAAAACAGGTTGGTTTACGGATCGGTTGGCTGTCGCACGGGGAAAAGTGGACACTTTGCCGCGCAATTTTGGCTAAAAGACGCGCGCGCAGGGGTGCGTCGGCTTACAACACAAAACAGAAATCTCTCTTTACACGGAACTTTTCACGACTTTTTCCGCAAACCGAACGAAGATCCATAGAATCTTGCTACCGCAGAAACCACGCACGGAAAAAAACACGCAACATTGCCGTTTTGCGAGACAGGATATGTGGCCTCTGCTGTAGACGTTTGTGGAAGAAGCACGAAAGAGGTTGGTATACAGATCGGTTGGCTGCCACACGGGAAAAAGTAGGAACTTTGCCGCGCGAACCTGGGAAAAAGAAACGCAAAGGGGTTTGTCGGCTTACATCGCAAACAAAAATCTTTCTTTATACGAAACCGTTGACGATTTTTTCCGCCGACAAAACGAAGAACGTCGTCCACAGGATCTTGCTGCCGCAGAAACCACGCACGGAGAAACACACAAGTTCCCCTTTACACGGAACCATTGACGATTTTTTCCGCAGACAAAACGAAGAACGTCGTCCACGGGATCTTGCTGCCGCAGAAACCACGCACGGAAGAACACACAACCTTCCCGCAACTGTTACAACATTGCTGCCTTGCAAGACAGGATACCGGACACCTGGCCTCTGCTGTAGACGTTTGTGGAAGAAGCACAAAACAGGTTGGTTTACGGATCGGTTGGCTGTCGCACGGGGAAAAGTGGGAACTTCGCCGTGCAATTTTGGCGAAAAGAAGACCGCACAGTGTGTGTCGGCTTACAAGGCAAAATAGATATCGTTCTTTACACGGAACCACTGACGAATTTTTCCACAGACCGAACGAAGAAAATCGTCCACAGGATCTTACTTCCGCAGAAACCACGCACGGAGAACACACACACATATAACTTTCCCGCAACTGAGTTAATCCGACCCTCAACAGCAGCACAACGATATTGGGGTAGGATCGCCTGGCAAGGCAAGGAAACCCAAAAGGCAAGCCCAACCCGAAGAGGAACACAAGCTGCAAGCGTACCTCTTTTCTCATTACTTGAGCCAAAGATCATGTCATTGGCACATTAAGCTACACAGTCAGACATGTTACCTATACAAGGACAGGGAACGTCGTATTCGATCAACTAACTGTTACAACATTGCTGCTTTGCAAAACAGGATACCTGACTTCTGCTGTAGATGATTGCGGAAGAAGCACGAAGCAGGTTGGTATACGGATCGGTCGGCTGTCGCACGGGAAAGACGGGCAACTTTGCCGCACAAACAGGGCAGAAAGAAAAGCGAAGGAGTCGGCTTACATCGCAAACAAATATTTTCCTTACACGGAACCATTGACAATTTTGCCGCAAGCCGAGCGAAAAACGTCGTCCACAGGATCTTGCTGCAGCAGAAACCACGCACGGAAAAACACACAACTCTTACAGCATTGCTGCCTTGCAAGACAGGATAGCAGACCAGGCGCCCAGAAAGGAAACATTAAAGGGAACCAGCGGGAGCTCAGGCCCTCTGCTGCGGCCCGCCCGTCCAACCCAGGAGCCCAGAAAGGAAACAGGAAGGAAACCCAATTGGCAGCCCAATCCCTTTGCCGCGGCCCACCCATCCAATCCAGGAGCCCAGAACAGAAACATGAAGGGAGGTAACGGGATTGCCGCGGCCCAAGGAAACATGGAGGGAGCCCAACGGGAGTCCAGGTCCAACCCAGCAGCCCAGAAAGGAAACATGAAGGGAGCCCAATGGGAGCCCAGGTCTTTTGCCGCAGCCCACCCGTCCAAACCAAGAGCCCAGGAAGGAAACATGAACGGAACCGAATGATAGCCCAGGTTCTTTGCCGCGGCCCACCCGTCCAACCCAGGAACCCAGAAAGGAAACATGAAGGGAACTGAATGGGAGCCCAGGTCCTTCGCCGTGGCCCACGCGTCCAACCCAGGAGCCCAAAAAGGAAACATGAAGGGAGCCCAACGAGAGTCCAACTCAGGAGCCCAGAAAGGAAGGAAACATGAAAAGCCCAATGGAGTTCAGGTCCTTTGGCGCGGCCCATCCGTCCAACCCCGCCCAGAAAGGAAACATGAAGGGAGCCCAGAAAGGAAACATGAATGGAGCCCGATGGGAGCCCAGGTCCTTTGCCGCGGCCCACCCGTCCAACCCAGGAGCGCCCAGAAAGGAAACATGAAGGGAAGTGAATGGGAGCCCAGGTCCTTCGCCGCGGCCCACCCGTTCAACCCAGGAGCCCAGAAAGGAAACATGAAGGGAAGTGAATGGGAGCCCAGGTCCTTCGCCGCTCCAACCCAGGAGCCCAGAAAGGAAACATGAAGGGAGCCCAATAAAGCCCAGGTCTTTTGCCGCGGCCGACCCGTCCAACCCCGCCCAGAAAGGAAACATGAAGGGAACTGAATGGGAGCCCAGGTCCTTCGCCGCGGCCCACCCGTTCAACCCAGGAGCCCAGAAAGGAAACATGAAGGGAAGTGAATGGGAGCCCAGGTCCTTCGCCGCTCCAACCCAGGAGCCCAGAAAGGAAACATGAAGGGAGCCCAATAAAGCCCAGGTCTTTTGCCGCGGCCCACCCGTCCAACCCCGCCCAGAAAGGAAACATGAAGGGAAGTGAATGGGAGCCCAGGTCCTTCGCCGCGGCCCACCCGTCCAACCCAGGAGCCTAGAAAGGAAACATGAAGGCAAGTGAATGGGAGCCTAGGTCCTTCGCCGCTCCAACCCAGGAGCCCAGAAAGGAAACATGAATGGAGCCCAATAAAGCCCAGGTCCTTTGCCGCGGCCCACCCGTCCAACCCCGCCCAGAAAGGAAACATGAAGGGAAGTGAATGGGAGCCCAGGTCCTTCGCCGCGGCCCACCCGTCCAACCCAGGAGCCTAGAAAGGAAACATGAAGGGAAGTGAATGGGAGCCTAGGTCCTTCGCCGCTCCAACCCAGGAGCCCAGAAAGGAAACATGAATGGAGCCCAATAAAGCCCAGGTCCTTTGCCGCGGCCCACCCGTCCAACCCCGCCCAGAAAGGAAACATGAAGGGAAGTGAAGGGGAGCCCAGGTCCTTCGCCGCGTCCCACCCGTCCAACCCGGAGCCCAATGGGAGCCCAGCCAGTTTTCCGCGGCCCAGCCAGTTTGCCGCGGCCCAGCCATCCAACCCACCACGGCCCACCTTTTTTCTGAGGAGAGAACCCCAAACCGTACCTGTTTGGGGAAAAATCACCACCAACCGGTCAACTGTGGTGTGCGGTGGTTTACGCTAGACGTTCGGGGGTCTGGTGATTTATTGCCGCGGGGTCTGGGGCTGTGTTTGCCACAATGTGGCCTAGAAACTCAGTCGCTCAGGAGGAAGCGGACAGGACAGCAGCTTGCCAAGGGACTGAAATGGGGGCTGAAATGGGGAGGGCCTAAGCCGGAACATGGACAAGGTCTGAAATGGCAGGGGGGGATAACCGTACGCGCCCGGGGCATTGAGCTTTGGCACGTTATGCCGTATGATTGCTGTTGTGGAGGTTGCCCGTGCCATTTTGTAGGAACGAGGGGGTCGATGCAGGGGTGGTAGCCCGGGTCGCTTCATGGGGCCAGGTTCTCTGGTATGCATTCTTAATTGTCCCAACCAAAATCCGTCGAACCCGGATACTCCCTAAATTAAAGCAGCAGCAGTCACCTGAACTCATGTTCAATTCAGGATCTATAGGCTTGTGCCATGTTGTGAAATTCCCAAACCTTCAACCCATACGCCTCGAGCCCAGAAACCCTAAACCCAGAAACCCGGAACCACGAACGGCTAAACGCCTAAGCCCTGAACGCAGAATCCCCGAACCCAGAAACTCTAAATCCCTAAACCCGAAAAACTAGGAAACCCTGCACCCAAACTCCCGAAACCAGAAACCCTTAAATCCCGAACCTAGAAACCTTACATGCCGGAAGCCTAAAACCAGAAACCTCGAACCCAGAAATCCTAACACCAAACCTGGAAACCCTAAATCCAGAAACCCTGAACCTCTAAAGCCATCCACCCTGAACCTAGAAACCCTGCATCCAGAAACCCCGACCCGGAAACGCTGAGCCCAGAAACCCCGCACGCCTCAAACCGGGATGGAAATTTACGGGAATTAGGGTGTCCCTGTACATTTAAGTAGCTGCAGTCACAGCTTTGCGAGAAATGAGTCGTGGAATTCAAGCCCAGTGGACATCTCTGAAGTCTGAAGCCTGCTGCAGGGCCTATGCCAAATCTCCGCGCAGTCTACCAAGTAATATACACCGAGACTGCCAGTGGTTCCACTTCCCCCCACCCTACAGGCTACAGGAATATCGGTACCATCCCCCCACCTGGAATCCTGGCTGTGGGCTCCTATCTAGTGTGTTCTGGCGGCTTCGGCTTGTCTACGGTTGAAAGGCGCTTCCTCAGAAGCTCACAACCTAAACCCTATGAACTTCAATCCCAGGGCTTAGGGTCGTAGGGTTTCTGGGTTCAAAGTTGATGGGTTACGGGGCTTCGGGTTTCTGAATTTATTTCAGGGTTTTGGATTCTGTGTTCAGGGCTTTTTGTATGGCTTTGAGTTTGTGGGCTTAGGATTTCTCTTGGTTGAAGGCTAATTGGTTTCGGGTTTCTGGGTTCAGGGCCAGGGTTTCTGGGTTTAGGTTTCTGAATTCGGGACGAGGTGTAAGTGTACGGGCTTTAAGGCTTCTGGATTCTCCGTAAACCAATAGACCCTGAACCTTCAAAAGGAAGAGCCTTTCAAATATAGACGAGCCGAAGCCGCCAGAACAAACGAGTTAGCAGCCCACGGCCAGGATTCCAGGCGTGGCCGGGGCAGGAATGGGCCGGCTAGGATTCCGCAAAGGACGGGGACTGCTGTCTCGGTGTTGACCCTCCAGCAGGCTTCAGAACTGCTGACAAAACCCCATGCCCGAGCATGAACAGGGGTTTGGTGGCAGATGCATCAACTGCAGGGTCCACTGGGCCCGCCTAGTGCAGGGTCTGGCATTATTTGGGGTCTGGAATGGGGTTGGGTTCGACCCCTAGCCCGACGACTTAGGACCCGGTTTGCGGTCTGGTATGGCTGGCTAGGGGTCTGGCAGCGCAGCCTGAGGGTTAAGCAAGCGGCAGAAGCAACGGGGACAGTCACAGCGACCACAAGAAAAACACCCTGGGGGCGTGAACGTCGTTGACCACCGAGGCCCTTAAAACCCCTTAGTTAAACCCAAAAAGTCGCCAAACCCGATTCTGGGGATGTAACGTCCCCCACGGCGAATTAAGCCTCAAGGAGTACTGATCTGTATTAGCATTGATATTTTAACACTGGCATTGCACCACATCCACATGCACCCCCTCAACACTCTAACTCCGGCCCTCGCAACTGCAACACTCTTGCTGCAAATGGAGCACAGAAGCATAATCCGAAACCAAAAACTTTAGACTCTCGACCGTAAAGCAACAAAGCCGTCGCCGAAGTCTGCCTTAAGAATTCCACGTGCACAAAACACTTCACTCAGTTTGAACGCGAGCTTTCTGCTCTCATTGCATAGGCGGATTTCATCGGCTTATTACTGTGACGGCGTGGCAGTACACCAGTGGAAGTGCTTAGCTTGCCTCTCCTGTCGCAGAACGTCGCGGAATGCACATCCGACCGGGACATCCGACTGAAACCGGATTCGATCCGATTCTCAAGATCGAGCAGTCGAACTGCGCGTGCTCTAACATCTCCGTTTCTGCCAGCACAAGGAGTGTTTCACTATGCCAAGGTCATCACGAAAGAGGGTGTCGACAAAGGACCATTGCTTCATATCTCCGGGGATGTGCACCTCACTGTCACGGTGGTGCCCTTTTAACTTTTCATGCGCCGCCCAACAAGAGAACGGCCAACGAAGCTCTTTCGCCGCATCGACAACACCGGGAAGGGTGCCTGAGATTCTGGGATGATACACGAAATTCTAATGCAAGCAACGAAGCATCTCATAGACTCAGATTGGCCGCACATCTCGCGGATGAACGAAGCCCGCAGTCCCCTGCCAAAACACCAGAGCTTGCTGTCCGAATCAGTTTGCGCAGAGGCTGTAAAGCTACAGCTGATGCTTGAGATGTGCCTCCTTCGTGCACTGAGTCATCCGCTGATTGCCCTAACAGCAGTTTGCACTTGCTGGTCAGCGGAATGGAACCGACCCGCGCGGCGCACGGCCGCACCTTCAGCAATGACATCGTGCGAAGCCGTTGCCGTGTGTTCCCGGTTGACAGCAGGAAGGACCATCCCTGGGACCAACGGGACGGCCAGCCACCAATGGCTGTAAAAGGCTTCACTTCCTTCACCGCCCGAGGCCGATGCGCTCAGGAGGTCCACGGGATCTGGACAGTAGACCTGTCTGGAGCTCTGCACGGCCCCCACGGGTCAACGAAGCGAGTGTCAGCTCAGCTCTCAGAACACACGCAGCCTCGAAGTGGCCAGCGCCGACCATCCCGGGATATCGTCGACCTGAGCATCCGAGACGCTGAAAAGGTTTCTGCCTCATTCCCAACACCTGAAAACTGAAAGGATCCCGCGCTCGCGCACCTCGCAGGACTGAAGAGTATGCATCATGACTTCACATGACCTTGTGATTCTGATCCCCGCGGCCTCAGGAAGAACCAGCTCTGGACTGTTCCAAAACATCCCCCACTCGGTTGCCGGGACCTCCAACACAGTCTCAACGGCAGGGCTTGTTGGCTTTTCTCTCAATTACCGCGGAATGCCACGGATGACACCCCGTTTCTCACCGTCACTGCGACTTCGACCTGGAGTCGAAGCCTGCTGTCTGGGCTGGGCTCCCTCAAGGGTCATTAACGTGCGGCGAACGTGTGCGGCCGACACCATCATCCGGGGCAAGAAGGGCCGGCTTTTTGCCAGGGCTCCTAAACCCAAAAAACACCGACTGCACAGCGATTGAAAACGTAATGTCTGCAGGGCAGCATCGGCTTCTGCGTTGCCCATCTCCGAAGGGGTCATCGCATTTATATTCGACGGTTCTCAAGTGCTGCTAGGACTATGGAATGAGCACCTGCTTTGGCTCTAGTACAGTCGGAGGATTCCTGGAGTCCTAGACTTGGGCTTTCCGGCAAAGCAGATAGGGCTTCGCATGGCTCAGCCATGCTGCGCCAACCTTAACTACAGGCTGCGCTCGAGAGCAGAGACACAGCGGCTCTCAGCGACCTTCTCACGGCTCTCCACAGAGGGAGCCTGCAAAATCCGACAAGACACATATAGGCAGCCAAAATGGTGAGGCACCTCACATTGCATGAAGGCCCAGCTGAACAGAGAGGAGTGCAGGCCTGCTGCCTGACCAGCCAGAACATTGACATGTCGGCTGTGTGCGCTTAGGAACCGAACGTGCCTGCCACCAGTCCGACATCCAGTGGGAAGTGCCCGTCTCGGACGACGAGATCCTGAGCTGCAAAGGCAATGCAAAGGCTCTGCCAGCTCCGCCACGGCTCGGCCACGGCCCGCGCCAGTCGACGCTTCCCAAGCCGGTGGCCAAGATCTCCTTACCGTCCTCTCTTTTTGAGAACGAGCGCGAACGCCAACGTGAAAGGCGCAAAAACCGAGCGAGGCCCCTTCTTTCCTCGTCCACCACCTGCGAGCCCTTGCGCTTCAATCGACCATGAGGCCTGCGGACCGGAACGGAACTTTCAATGCATGCAACAGTGATGCGATGGATGCTGGAGGCGCCTTGGCACGATTTGTTCGGTTTCGAGCACCTCGGAGGCCTGCGTCGTGCGTGCCGCCGTCGTCACACCGATTCGTTTGCGTTCGGTCCTGTGCCATGCCACTCTCCGCGATCTCAAGCAGCTTGGACTCGGAGCACTCGGCTTGCTTCAGGCCTGGGTTGCTGGGACAGTTCTCGACAAATGGCGTTAGAAACCTGAGAGCTGCGCTTTGCAATACCTCCATCAGCTCCTACAGCGGCATGGCATGGCAGCAGGGTTCACTTTCCCCTTGCGGGTCCGAGGCTGCCGTCTTCAGTCCTCGAAAGTGGGCTGGGTCAGCAAGCGTGCTTCGTGGAGGTCCAGGAAGGCGATCGCCCTCAGATCAAAAAAGCCGAGCGCCCTAACCCCGACAAAACCCTCCCTGCTCCTTGCCCCTCTCCTCAGGGCCTCCCTGAGAGGATGCCACTCCTATCCTCCACTTCAACTTTGAGCGCCCAACAAGGACAGCAACGCGGCCAGACCGAAGTCTTCCAGGAAGCTCAAGCAATGCCTGAGAGTTCAGTGCAATGAAGTGGACCTTCATTCCTGCTCGGGACGACTTCCACCGCTCCTTTCATTCTGCGCACGCCTACTGACTGAGGCCGGTGCAACAACATCATCAGCGGCAGCCAGTTTACAAACATGGACAGTAGTGCCTGCCGCTTCGGACATTGAAAGGTGGTGTGCACCGGGCGGGTCGCACCTGCGGCAGGAACATGTCGCTGCGGACACCGAGCCTGCGCAGGACTCTGCACGAGAAGCCTGACGGCTTAAGTTCGCGAGGCGGATCGGAAACTGGAACAACGGATTGGGAAACTGGACGGGAGTGGAAGCACGGATCGGGATTCGGGAACTGCACAGCGCGGAATCGGAAACCAGAATTCGGAAACAAAACGTGAAAACCTGGATTCGGAAACTGAAAAACTGAGATTCGGAAACTGGGCCCGCACGGATTCGGAGACTGGGCGCCCGGATTCGGAAACGGGCACGCGAATTCGCAAACTAGACCCGCTGATTCGGAAACTTCGCTGAGCGGCGGTGAAAATTATTGTTTCAATCGCTTCATGTTAACAGACCCTTGCACGCTTATGGTGCGCACAGCTTCCGCAGAGCCAACTGTCGCTTACGCGCCGCCCCTTGAGTCTGCTTCAAGCCCTTGCGAGCGCCATTGCGCGCTTCAGGTCCTTGCGCAGGACTGAAACCCTATTCTTGTGTAGGACTGAGACCCCTATGGGCTGAGGTTCTCTGCCACTAAAGAGATTTACGGTATCGTAGCAAGGCTACAAAGTAAAGGATGCTGCGGAAAGCTAACATTCTTGGCAGCAGAGTCCATAAGATTGGCCAAGAGCCGCGACTCAGAGTCCGCGGCAGTTTCTAAATCCGACCGAATAGTTTCCGGATCCTTCCACCGCAGTTTCTGAATCGGATGCAGTAGCTTCTGATTTCGTGCACGTAGTTTCTCAACCGCGTTTCCGAATCCACGAGGTTTCTTGAATCCGACCAAGCAGTTTCTGAATCCGTCCGACTAGTTTCGGAAGCCGAGTTTCTGAATTTTGAATCCGTGCAAGTAGTTTCCGAAGCCTAGTTTCCGCAGTAGTTGCTGAATCTGCAATTGCTCCGGCTTAAAACCTCTCCCCACCTGGCGAAATGCTCGAACCAAGGCTTCTCCCGAGCCAGGACCTCCAGCAGCTCTGACAATCCAAGCTCGATATGCTCGGGGCCTGCGGTGCCTCAAAGCCGGCCATGCAGGGAGCAAGCAGTGGGAATCCGGGCCTGAGCCGGGTCTCTGCAAGTGCGACTCAGACCAAGTCTTCTGGCAGAAAACCAACAGGATGCACGATCGTGTTGCTATCCGCACTAGCACCTGCATCATCAGCCAGTCTTTGCACTGGCTTGACTTTTCGTTCAGTTACGTTGCAGAGTCTGCCCGGCTTCTACTCAGAAAACGGAGAGCATCGCTTGTGAGCGCTAAGAGGGTAGCAACCGTCTTGATGAACCGTGCAAACCATTATTGAGAAGTCGGGCAGGCAAGCATCAAAGGCTCTGGCAAACCCCACATCTTCTAACCAGACCAGCTACTGGATGTCTCTTCTTCGAAGCACAGCATACCCTTACTTCACGTGTCGCCTGTAGAAACAATCTTGGTGCACATTGCATGAGCAGTGCAAAGGGGGCTCACATCTTACCGCACGGTAGGGTTAGCCCTCTTGATGAATGTGCGAGGTTTGCACATGAAGGTACAGGCTCACGCTCAAGCGCTAGCCATGCCAGAGTGCAGGCATCAGAAATCGATCAGAAGGCTGTTGAAATCATGTGCCAAGACCATCACCACCTGATGCACCTGCGATATGCACGAGGACAAAGACAGGCACCAACCAAGCGCAAATGACAGGCCAGCACCTTGTGAAAATCGAGCTGTTGGCAGTTCTTTCACCTAACATGTATCATAGCAGGACATGGTCAAAAAAACACAATGGTCAGATTCCAAACGGGAAAAGGTCGCGGTGTGACGTTCAGGACAAGATGCAAAATCCAAAATCAGGATGGGATCCAGCTTACAACCTGACCTCGGGCATCAAGCAGCTGCTGAGTGGTGAGTTACTCATGCGACGCTCTGTTCGTTCTGGGTGCCCAGCGTCTTCAGAAGGCTGTGGCCTTCCCCTTCCAGTACACAGCCAACACGCTGCCTACGATGGCCATCCAGACCACGCTGACGGCAGAAGGCACCCTCACGTTGAAGGCCTCAGCGAATGGCAAGCAGGCGGCGCCAAGTCAGACCGCTAAGCCCTACAGTACCTTCGAGTACCCCTGTCCCAGCTCTGGGTCTCTTGGTCTCTGGGTTTCGGGCTCCAAAGTGCAGCGAAGCAAGGAGAAAGCCGAAGGCAGAGGACTTCATCGAGGTCTCGATGGCTACTGTACGGCACGTTCTCTCGTCAAAGCCGCAGATCTGTGTGGCGAAGAAACCCAACAAACCTCCGAAAAGGTGCAGGGCAAGGCATGCCAGCTGCAACGGAATGCCGGCTCCTTTGATGGGCGCTGCACATCCCGCCACTGAAGCTCCGACAAGCAATACCGTGGAGATCACGCCGATCACTGGGGTGTATGGTGTCACTGCCTTGCAGAATTTGGGCACGAGGGTGTTGCAGCCGACGCCCAAGAAAATGGGTGCCAAAACCACCTGGAAGGTGGAGACCACGATGCCCATGGCATCCACAGGCACAACGGCTCCCAAGACGAGTTTGCAGATCAGTGGGGTCATGACGATGCAGCCCAACGTGGTCGAAGTCGTCATGAGAACACTCAAAGCAACATCACCACCGGCAATCAAGGTGCAAAGGTTCGACGCCTGGCCGCCGTTGATGGATCCCACCAAAACGAGTCCTGCCAAGATGGCGCCCTCTGCACCAATGGCTTTCGCAAGCATGAAGGCCAACAGGGGCATGATCCCGTAGCAGGAGATGAAATTGATCGCGACGGCCCCGGGACGTTTCAGGCACTCCTTGAAGTCATCGATGGTTGTCGTAATGCCGACAGAGAACATGAGCAACCCAAGCAAGCCCGTAAAATACTCCGACTTCACCCAAGTGAACGTGGAAGGCTGCTTCAAGGCAGCCACCGCTGCGATCGCCAACCAGATGGCGAAAAGATTGCAGAAGGCGGTGCTGATCTTTTGCATCGTGCTCTCCTCCTCTGCGCTTTCGGCGTCACCCTCTGCTCGGCGACCGAGACCGAAGAAAGAGCGGCCCGACTTGCCAAAGCGCCTCAGAGGAGCCAGTGCCTTGGCCATGCCCAGCACGGCGAAAGGCACCAAAGCAGCGCGCTCCGCGAGGCTTTGCGGGCTCTGAGGGCTCTCGGCCGAGGCAGCGGTAGCGGCCGCGGCAGAAGCCACAATCGGCTTCGGCGGGGTCGTTTTGCCTTCCATGCGGCTAACCTGCAAATCCCGCACTCCAGCAAAGCTGCTGCGCGCAACATGCTGGGGGCCAGGGGCCGCTGCCATGAAGGCCAAGCCCTCATAGAACACTGCGCAGAGCCCGACCCCGGCAACGAAGGGAAGGACCAAAGATCTGCTTCGCGATGTCGTCATCCCTAGGACCGAAAACGGCTTTGGGCTCGTGTTCCTGGCTTTGAGCACCAATGCTGCGTTGAATCCTCGAATGAGACGCAATAGCTCAATAGGCAGCTAAACACTAGACCTCGCAGCGAAGACCTTGAGCCCTGAGCAACCACAGCCCACGCACTTGTCGTACAAACGCTGCAAAGCGTTTATACGCCTGCTGTGCAGAAGCGCAAGCGTAGACTCGGGAACCAAGAGAGCATCCGAGCAAGACGGCCGCCTCCGGATCTTCTGCTGCTGCTGCAAACACTGCAGCCACCAAGGTCATCCCCTGACAGTAGCCCAGCCTGGCGTGGCGTGAAGAATGCACAACTGCCATAAGCTGTGACTTCTGAGGTTCGAGCTCGGGGTCCTCCATCAGATGCTTCAGGATCATACAGCGGACCCTGAGGCACAGCAATGCTCATTGGCTCTGTCAGTTCTTGCTTCATGCACTGCATACCATGCCCTTGCAAACTTTGACAATGGTTCTCAACCTTCGGTTGGATGACGTGCCCACAGGTCAGAAAAAAACACACTCAGGCACAGATATTTGCAGAGCTGGCCTTCCAATGCAGGCCTGGAGCGCGGAGTCGCCACCAGCCGTGCGGGGAAGGTCAAGATCTAGCTGACGAACGACCTGCAACAAAGTGGCATAACTCGCCTTCCAACAATAAACCGACGGGATAGTCTCTGCAAAATGAGTGACTGCAGGGTGGTCGAAATCGGCACTGAAGGCTCAGGCTTCAAGTCCGCAATGGAATCTTGGACGACGAAGTGCGCATATGTGGGTTATCACTAGACTATCACTGTTAACAGTGCCAGTACGGAGGGATGAATACTGAAACGTACTAGATATCATCGCTGCATCGCCTGTTCTCGGTAATGCCTCGACATCTCTACTCTGGGCCCGTGTGAACTTGGGACCTGCCGAGCCTACTATGTCCAATCACATCCAACTATCCAACCGCCTCCGGGCTCGGTCCATCTCCATCTTGCAACCTGCACAGTCCACGGTGCTTCGGCAAGAGATGCAGTGATGCAACAACATAGCAAACCCACGACACAGCCGGTTGAAGAGCTGAAGAGCTAAAGCCATGTTTGTCAGAAGCGGCACAGGGAGCATTTCTTGGCTCCCGGACCGACTCAGCGTGCTGGGTGCCACATCTTGCATCCAGGGAGTGTCCTGCACAGCGGGAGTCGAAGCGGTCTCTGTCGATGATTAGTCTCTGCACTTTGCACTTGCCTTGATACCGCTTTATGCCATGCATGCCATTGGCATGAGGCACCGGTGCAGCACCGCTCTTGCAGATTCCCGTTCCGGTGTTATGTATGACGGACCATTACATTTTGTACGCCGCACCTGCTCATGGGCGGTCGCGTAGTAGGTGGAAGCATGACTTTTGAGCTCTGGATCCGGCAAGGGAGCGTTCGTGTGAAGAACGATTGACGGCTCACATCTTGGGCTCACAGTCTAGGTCCATGAGGCCCACGCCAGCATCCAGCGACAAGGCAGCGTTTGCATGGGGCTTGGCCTGCTGCGTCTTTGCGAGCGCTGCGGAAACGCTTTGCCCCGTTCCGAGGCCCAAGCTCACCAGGACTGTGCAGGTGGAGCCTGAGAAAGTCTGAAACTCGTGCGGACGGCCACTAGCCCGGACAAGACTGCGACGTGTTCATCAATGATTGGTCATGGATGCAGTCGCCGCTCCTGGCTGAACCCAGCGGGCAGCTACTTCAAGGGATACTCGGCATACCAGATGCAGTCCTTCCAAGTCCTTCTCTTGCCGCGCTGAGTGCGAGCGATGTCCAGTTACGAGCGCGCATCCTTTCACCGAAACTGCAACAGTACAGGGCGATGCGAGAGCGACATACAGCAAGAGAGTGGGTGTTCCTTTTTTGGTGAAATTCATGGAAGGGGCAGCAACGACGAGCTACACCTGGAACCACCACAAACCTTCAGGCCCCAATATTAAAGTCAGGTTCTTGGAGACGGCAAACTCATGAACAACCTCACACACTCCAGGCCAAAACAGTCCGTAGTCATGGCCGGCCAGGATCCCCGGGCGCTGCAGCTTCGGCAGCCACGCCTCTATGTCTGCTTTCAGTTCATCATAGGCGTGGAAGCTGTCAATGAAAACCAAGTGAAGAACAGAATTTGGCACCCAGCTTGCGGCACCCGGACTTCGCTGTGTGATGATGACGCTTCGATTTCGGAACGGTCGGACACGTTCCCAAAAAACATCGAAAGCTTGTGCAGCATCTGATCGCTCTTCATACAGAGTGTGTTGTTCGAAATAGCTCTTGTCCGCAAATTCGAATGGGTCTACCAAAACCATTTCAAGGAAGGGGAGCCTTTCAAGAAGAAAACTCGATGTCTGTCCCGTGTGCACACCGATTTCAGCTGCTTTGACGGTACCTGCTGACCATTGCGTTGAAATCTCGCGGAGCAGGGATGCCAAGACATCTGCAACACCCGACCCGCGCGTTCCTTCGAATATGATTGGAGGCTGTGCCGTCCTCAGAGTCTCTGAGGAGGCGACCTGTGCGGCATGGATCCGTGACATCGCCAGCCGTGAAAGGTCCGAAATGCCCTTGACGCAATCGAGCATCGTAAGCAACGATGGGGAACAAAGCTCCTCGCCCTCTGTGAGCTCCGCCACCGCTGCACAGGAGGGAACAGTCCCCAACAAATTCTCAACGTTGTCGGCGAGCCGAAGGCTGACGTCTGTTAAAGCCGACTCCATGCTTGGAGCCAAACCTCTCAAGCCTTCCGAACACTGAGCGGCGTGATAGAGCAAATGTGCGACCAGCTGTGGCAAATAACACCATCCAGCTTCTTCGCAGCTGTAACCCTCCTGCTGACCCTCAGGAATGCACGCAGACATTACTGCATCCCGGACACCAAAGACAAGGTCAGTAAACAACTTGGCGACGTTTACAACCGATTCGCCGTTTCGCGGGTCGTGCCGGGCCGCAGCAGTCCAGAACAGTGAAGCATTGTATGTCCAATCTTGCGTCCGAAAAGAGGCAGATGCCAAATGAGAAAGGACAGCAAAAGCCAAAGCCAATCTCAAGGGCATCGCGATGGACATCACAAGTCCGCAACGAACAAATGTTTGGACAGGAAAATGTCAATCTTACAATATATCGTCCATGGCATGCGAAGAAGTCCCATCGCATGGCCTTCCGTTCCCATCGAAAATTGCTTGAGCCATCGTGCCAGAGTCTAGAAGTGCACTCGCTGTAAAGGGTGGCTTTTTTTCGGCTCTTGGGCCGGTAACTCTCCAGCTTCATGTGGGAGCAAGGCAGGAGAGTGGAAGGGAACATCGGAATGTCTTTATTTCCAGCTGCCCTCTAGGCACATCTGCAGCATAACCGGTGATGAAACCTACATCATGCTGCTCTCACTAAGATCGAAACTATCCGAAAGATGCGATCGTCACTAAACTGTAGATCAGCAACTATCACCACTAATTCCTGAACAGTTACTGAAGCATGGAAACTTGAGAAACCGTGTGCTGTGCAGGAGAGGAGCAATTGGCAATAGTCCACCTCACATGACTCTGTGTGTGTGGGTGTGCGTGCGCGCATGTGCGAATGCCTATCACAAAGATCTGTGCAATAGACCTACACTTGAACAGCCAAACCCACAAACGAGATAAGACACTTGAGTTCGTGCGAGGATCTCATGTCCCCTCAAAATGCAATGGGAACAGCAAGTGGCCCCGGACCCGGTCCTGGACAAGTCGTACAAGGCCAGACCTCCGTTGACATGGCTCAGGGCCTCATATCACCAGCTCTATCCACTAACAACATTCCTTAGAATCCACCGTAAAAGGCTCTGAATGTTTCTCATCGTGTCTCAGGTCTGCACAGAAATATGCGCAGCTGCGAAGACATGGTGCCTGCAAGGCCGCAAACGTGTTCGTTCTGTATCAAAGCGAGGAAAGTCTACTTTCTTGGTCTGCTGCTTCTCAAACGTGTCGAACTGCGCCCAAAGGTCTGCAATGTCGTCCAACACGAGGACCTTCTGGGTTGCAAAGCTCCTTCTCCAATCCCAAGAGTCCCTGTGTGCTCCCTTCGGGTATGCTCGGACAGCCGCATCACCCAGATCCATGGCAATGACGCGGTCCACCTACCGAGACGCCCTGGAAATTCGCACAACGAGCTCCGAGCTCCGGCAGCTCGGGCATCTCGGGCGTGAACGTGAGCCGGCAGAAGCTCATGGCCTGCACTCCGACTACCAGACCCAAACATTTCCTTCGAGGCTTCTTCGAGGTTTCCGAGGCTTCAGCAGATGAAGCGAGCCAACAAGGCCTCACCTCGCTCGAAACTGCACATCCCCCGCTCCAGTTCGCCTTCCCGGGCCGCCCGCCGATCTTGTTCACGTCACAGTCGGATGGATACTGACCTGAGAAATCAACCTTTCACGCTCACAGCGACTGGCCGTGTAAGCTCGCAGCTCATGAAAAGCTGGAAATTCACGTTCGTCGTGAAGTCCTAGAGGCAATGCAGCAGGGAATAGCATGGACGCTTCAGCATCGGCTACAATGACGACAGCTGGAGAGCCAAAGGAACGCTGCAATGAGGCACGGAGTCGAAAAAACGGGAAATAAAAAAAGACAGGCAGACAACAACAAGCAGCCGTACAATGCACCGCTCCACGTACTCCAATTCAATGAGGTTGAGGCTCCGCATCTTGCCAGATGCCTCCTCAGCACTGATCTTGATCGCACCATCGGCGTACAAGTGCAAGCTGTCGTGCCAAGCAACGAAAACACAATCAGCAATAATAGTTACAAATGCTGGCCCACCAGTAAGGCTGAAGCAAGATCATGCAGAGTGGCACGCCAGTTCTGGAAGCGCGAGTGATCGAAACGTCCCGTCTACTGCTTTCTCGCTGGCACGTGCTGGTACTTGTAATTAGGCGATGCCTGTATTTAAAAAACGTGTTCATGGAGACGCCTCGAGGCCTGCTGCATCGCCTCAACAGGGACTTCGTGGTGTCCACAGGGCGTAGCCTTTCTTGAGGCACACACCCAGAACGAAGATGTGCAACGGAACAGACCTCAACCTGGCGCAAGACGAAAGAATACAAAAGATAACGTCGCAATGGCCGCCTCGCCTCAGAATGCTCCAGAGCGTGGTGAAGCCGACCTTCGCAGTTTGACCTTCAGGGCGGAGGCTACCGAACATTGCCGAAGCGAAATGTCCATCCCCGCAGGCACCAGGATTCTGCGGTGACTGCAAGCCTTATGCCTGGACTTAACTATTAACTGCTAACCACCCCGACTGTTGCACAAACTTCGTGGGCTGTTGAAGAGCGTGAGCCTCTGGGAATCCGGCCCAGATTCAGCACCAACAGGTACACAGGAGAAATCCTTAGGCCGTGCACACACTGAGCCCAGAAGTGCCAGAAGTAAACCACGAAAACAACAATCCAGCTCCGGGCGAATGGACAGGAACAACACGCTTCACGGAAGAAGCCTCTCATCGAATGAGAATAGGGTGGTCCCTGGGGTGGTCTTTGCGTGTCTGCGAGGCAAAATGTCTGCGACCTGGAAGGACGGAATGATGTTAAAGGCAAGTTCGTCGTGCTCCCTCACCTGAGTCATGCAAATGCAAGCCAAGTTGCAAACCTTCAAGAATCCACAGCCCTGCACCACCATTTTGTAGTAGTCCATCAAGAGATCATCAAACTGATGTCTCACCTGTCTTAAGTCTGGGCAGGACCACCAGCTTGGTACTAGCAGTCTGCACCACTCGGTGGAAATGCCTCCTGCTGATCAACTTCAGGAAATGTAATTCCGGAGTCGACCTCCGAGATCTGCCACGGTTCAAGCCCTGCTGCCATCCATGAGAGCCAAGACGTGGACAGCGGCTTGGGCAAGAAGATAGTTCGAGAAAGCCTTCATGCGCTTCACACGCGCACTTCTGCGCTCTGGACTTTGGACTGGTCTTACCTCCAATCGAAGTGCTGCCTTGGCAAGAACTCGACTTGTCCTTCGTCCATGACGCGACAACATGGCGCGCAGCTTAACGGGTACAGCGGATGCAAAAAAGCGGAAAGTGCAGGGAAGGAGGGATCCGTCCGAGACGCCCGCGCCATGGCGCGGGGCCTCGCCAAGGGCTCTCAGCGGCTCTCGCACGCGGCCCGCCCGGCCCTCCCCCGTCGCAGTCGCAGCTGCGGCTCTCAGCAGCCGGCAAGAGCTCTCCCGCAACGTCAGCCTTGCAGAAGGAGGGACCCGGAGGCGCCTCTATGCAATGTCTCCTTCTCTTTCTCTGAGGCCGCGACCACCAAGCGATTCTCATCAGCTGCTTGCTTCATCTCATCCTTGAGAGCATCAGCCTGCAAAGATCAGCAAAGGCACATCCTGCGGGTCGCAAACAGATTCTTTAAACTTTTCCCCAAAGATTGATTGAACTTGCCCCAGCGGATTCCCTAACCCCAAACCCTAAAACCCTAAACCCTAAACAGTAGTAGAAGGAACCGGAGTTGAAAGAATTTTCGTTGAGAGAAGCGCAAGAAGCTGATAAATCGGGCTTACACCACGTCCGGCGAGGCCTGTCCACACAGATCGCCATCTTTGTGATCTGCGCTATGAAACATGGACTGACCCCAGTCCCAGTCCCCCTGCCGATGGCGGAGACCAAGCTGGCCAGCCATGGGTCCACCGTTCGGTTCATCGGAGCAGTTCAGGAACAAATGCAGTCCATGCTGGCATCCGTCTAACAGCGATTTTTCTGCAGAGGGTTGTAATCTTTTGGGCAGTGACTCGATTCGAAAGTAGGGCGAAACTTGTTAAGCAGGTTTACATCCTTTTAGGAACGTTGCCTCGACTTGTGGACAAGGCGGTTGAGTTTGTGAGCGAGACTGGCTGTGCTGTGCAGATATTGAAGCATACTGTACCAGCCACCCGATCAGGACTTGAGGGGTGCCGCAGTGGACCTTCTGGCAGCTCTGGACGGCGCGTGCGCTGAAGCTTCTGGACTGTCAAAGCAGAACGCCTTCCTCTGTATTCTGCTCTTGGCACTCATGGCCGCCTTTGCTTTCGCCGCGAAATTCGTGACGGGGGTGGCCTGCACGCCGACCGTAGCATGGTCTCGCATCCTGTACGGCTTGTTCCGATCCCAGTGACATTCCAAGATGCAGGCACCACGCTGAAACTTCACATAAAGGCCTGCGCTGCCTCTCTCTGAGTTGAGGAGCTAATCGTTCCTTAAGTTGGGGCGTCACTTGGGGAACGGAACTGATGCATTGCTTCTTCCAGCACCTGGCAAGAGGATTTGCGAGGAATCCGGTAGGCCGGCGTCGTTATCCGCTATTCGCTGCTCCGGAGGTTGCGCCGCTGCACACTCCGACACCAGGACGATTCTGCTCCAGTGGCCACGCATCCTCTCCCTCAGCTTGCAGTCCAGGAGTGGCTTGCCTTCACACACTGCGGCACCGATCTTTCGAAGCCACTGACTGCAGAAATTGCATTCTGCAGAGTTCACGGTGAATGTCCAAAGAGCCGCCACTCACACTCACGACGAGGAAGCTTGTCTGGCCTTTTGCGCAAAACGGGAGTCTCTGGGCTCTGGTCAGCTCTGTGATCTGCGGTGCAACTTCGCATGCCACATAGCCTGTAATTTTATTTGCGCTGTCCATGCGACAAGATCTTGCTAGATTGGCTCAGTGCCTGCTGTGATTCTTTGCCGCACATTAATGTCTGTTCCTTGGTCAACTTGGCAAACCTTGCCGCTCTGCCTCAGCAAAACCCTCGATGCAAGCAAGAACACCTGTCCTCTTTCCAGGATGCCGCGCTGAACTTACGACCGTCCCTTTGCCATCGCCCTTCGGCACATGCGAAGCCTCTAAAATACTGCGGATCTGCTCCACTTCTGCCTTGGGCCGAGCCCGTCTTGGACCGTGCTTAGTCGACCGGCCCGGAATTCGCCATCGCGGCCAGTGGCTAGGCTCATGGCACAAGACTCGGCGCCGAAATCAGCCTAATAACCTTGCTGTGTACTTCTCACGTGCTCATAGACGAAATTTTCTTCAACAGGCTGGAAAGTGAAAGGCCTCCTGTCAAGCCTTGGTCCTGGTGCCATGCATGAACCTTCCTCACCAACTAAGTCCCTCTGCTGTGCCAGGCCTGCAAGCAGGCAGAGGTAGCCGTGGTGACCTGAGTTGCGAGCCGCAGCTCTTGCTTTCTTTACAGTTACAGTGCACCGACAGCCTACAGTGTATTAGCACATGAGACTTGGCCTGAGCCTCTGTCTGCCAGCCTTCGCCAGCCCTCCAGGCTCTTGTGCTCAAAGTCCACGAGCACCCTGACACGAACCATTCCCAGCGGCCCCAGCGGCCCCAGCTCGAGGCCCAGTGCTAAAAAGCCACAAAAGCAGAGCCCCAACTGACATCGAAACAACCGCCCTCCGGGCTAGACACCTTGTACGTGCTGCGACAATCTGCTACTTCCGCTCTTAGTACCCCTGTGTAGTCTGGCACTCTTGCTCTCTCGTACTATTTATTTATGGAAGAACAATTCAAGCAGTGTCAAGTTTTTGCCATTGGGACAGGATTTGCAATGATCGCCCATCGAGCTTTCAATCTGCAGGGCTCGTAGGCCAGAAAATGGCTGGATCCTTATAATGAAGAGCCCGTCGAGGGGCTTACTGTTGAGAAACGCCACAACCTGCCATGGAGAGGAAACCCTGCTGCATCAGTCGAGAGTTCTTAGTCCACAATCACAGTGCATTCGGATGAATCCGAATGAACTTTTTTCCCAAGATATACACTGTGTACTAAGGACCGGAGCTGTTCATGCACCTGTACGATTCAGGTGCAAGACGTTGTCTACATTGGCCAGGTTTCCTAATGGGACATTGTCCGATCCTACCGGTCTACCTCTGAGCGACGGTGGAGAGCAAAGCACAATCATCAGGAGGAGCTGCAACCGAAGTTGCCAGAAACTTTTGACAGAATTGCTCCGGAAGGCATCACATGACATTCCTTGATCTGTCGCAGCCGAAACCGAATACCAAAACGATCCAGTACTACCTATGTCACTTGACCGCTCTATCCTGCAATCATTGAGTTCCCAGCCTTTCCAGGGCAGCGATGACATAGGAGCGCTCCTCCAACAGACATGAGCTAACCCTTCCTAGGCAGCCGATATGGAAGTCGTTCCTCTGGCTCAGCTGTTAGCTTCGATGGGCCAACCGCAGTCAGGACCCGGAGGATGAAGTCTGACCCGATGCATCGCATCTCACTGAAATGGAGGTCTGTGAACAGAAGCACGATGGCCCTTGGCGCCTGCGCGGTCTTTGGGAGCTCCACAGCATTCCCTCAGATAACAACACGGAAGCTAGTTCAATGCAAGGCAGCTGCCCGAGCATCGGACTCTCCGCGTGATTCCAAGTATTCCTTCAAGGCAATGGCACGTCTCTCCAGAAAGTTCTATCTATCGCAGATTGCTCTGCACGCAACTCTCATGCAACTGTGGCATTCAGAGCTGTAGTGAAGTGCCTCTGGGCAGGTTAAGATCAGGTCTTGCAGCGGTACGACGTCCGAAGGAGGGCAGCAGGCGATCTCGGATGCCAACAAAGGACAAGGTCGAACTCACGCGGGAAGACGACAGAGGTCTGCACATATAGGATCAACGTCGGAAAGCATTGTGAGCCAGCAAACATCTGCCTCGGTGCCACTGATTCGAAACTCAACACCGGCATTTGATCCTTCTCAGTGCCCGAAGTCGAGTATCACACTACGGCTGCAGATTTGCAGCTGTCCATGGCTTTTGTCATGGATTTGCGTGTAGCGAGAAGATCTTCCTATTCTGATATCCTCAATGTTGGATAGAATGTCGCCTATCTTAAGGCTTATGTCGCCGCAGATGACAGCGCGTCCTGGTGAAACTCATGAAAACGTTCGTGGTTTAGCAGTGGGAGTGGCTGTAGCACATGAATCTCGAAGTCCAGGGTGCCAGCAAGCCAGACATTGCATCCCCTCGGCGCTTGTCCTTTCTAAGACATGTTTGCCATGCTGAACAGATGCGTCCTGATTCGAGAGAGAGAGAAAGAGCACAGCTCTCTATCTGAGATCGATGCACTTCATATGTACAAAGTGACATCATCCTCCGTTCTGCGCAATGGCGCCATGTCGTTTAGACAGGAGCGCTGTGAAACTCCCGGCCGCATGTTGGGATATCGTATCGTGCCCGGCCTAACTCCTCAAGCAGACGAACTTCCCTGATGGCTTGCGACCGAGAGCAGGAAGTTACTCGAGTCGGAGGTTCTTGGCCTTGCCTTGGGCAGGCCTGCGAATTTAGCGAGCCGGACTCACCTCTTTCTCGGGTTCCGGCTTCCGTAAATTAGCTATGCACCAGGATGATGCCCGTCACACCATTTTGGACAAATCTGCGCTGCTCTGCTTTGCAGCAGCCAGCCAGGACACGACCTTGAGGAAAGCGGGCAGATCGAGTTGGTTGCCGCAGTCCATGAAAAGCTTTACCTCAGAGAAGCGACAAGATGCCCACAGCCAAAACGAAGTCACCGACAGGCCTTGACCTCCTCCCTCTCGATGGGTGTCAGCTGCACCCCAAGCTGGGAAAGGATCGTCCAGAGCCCGTTAATGCTCAGAGTCGCCTGTTTCTTGCATCAATCTTCCAGATTGAAGAGACCAAGAGGATGAAGGACTCTCAGACTAGCCGCTTATAAAATCAGATCCGCCTGACATGACCGTCTCAGCCTCGCTCAACTGTGTATAGGCAGAAATTCAGTCCTTGGGATCGGAAGTCGGCGATCCCCGTTCAGCTGTCAGGCCTCAGATGTCTCGCGTGGTAGCGTATCCCAGGTTTCAACGGCTTTGTCTGCCTTTCGAGAAGATGGCGGAAAGCTCGTCAACCTCTGCCTGCGAGCATGAGCACAGTTCCAAGCTGAGCGAAGCAACCCAGCTGATGCTTCTGCAGGCTTTGCAAAAGCTGGCACAACATGCAACATCACGTTGCTTGCAACAGAAAAAGACTTCGCGTGCGAGGCCTGCGAGAAGCTTGCAGGGCCACTGCCCCTGAGATGCGACGCCCTTTCTTTGTCCTGCAGAGCTGGTGACGGCATTGTGGCACTATGCGACTCGAGCTATTGTCAGCACAAAGCCGTTCATGCTGAAACTGATTTGAAAGTGGCTGCACCGACCTGATGGGTCTGCAAGATGCGCTGCAGATGGATGAAGACCCACTGCGTCACAGCTGCTGATCCCTCCGTGCCGCACAGATGCGAAGGGACCTCACGAGACAGCACACGTTTCATAAATAACCCTCACACGCACTTCGTTCCTTCTCGCTAGATTCGACGAGAGCTGCAAAAAACTGATCGACGAATAGTTGTCACGCGTCTTTCCCCGTTTTCGACATTCGTAGTGCAACCTTCTGAACGGGCCCATGTTCGGCTTCTGTCTTGAAGTTCGTGGAATCGGGAAACAGATGCAAGAGCGAGCCACCAATCGTACATGCACAGTGCCACTTCAGCAGCCAGCACAAATTGTGAACCGCGGACAGGCAAGCTCGAATAGGCCTGGAGGCAAAACATGGAGCGGCATTCAAAGGTCAGGCGCCCAGACTTGAGAAGAGGGCCACGAAAGCTAGGGAGAACGTAGCAGGGAGAGGGTGGGGCGACGCGTCAAGCGAATCTGTTCCAGACAGCAGTGCAAATCACTCGAGCGTAACTGAGGTTTGGATTACGTGTGCAGCTTTTGCCTCCGATTGAGTCAAGGATATGTTGTCAATTCTCACTTGCACAACAAAGCAGCAAGATCGTCGGCATGCGCCGGCCCGAAAATGCGAATAGAACCCACACAATGCTAGATGAGCGACTCAAAAATCGCAACACCAGCTGCGTCTTGATCTTGCAGGTCAAGACGGCATGTGTGCACTGCGCAAGAGCAGTCTGAACACGCTGGACATGGGGGGTAGAGGGCTCCCTCCTCCGGACGGCCCCCTCCTTAGTGCCTCTAAATCTTTCGTGGTGCTCTATGGTGTTCTCCATGCCCAAACATCGCGCACGGCAGGTCCTGTTGGCTCCCCAGAATCATTTTCATTGTCTCTGCATCCTCACCCCTCTTCTGAGGGTGCGCCGCCGCGAGTGGGAAACCACCGCGTGGAACGGCGACGAGGATTGCCTGGGCCGCCCAACCTTGCACAGGTGCATGTCCAACGATGCTCCTGGCTAAACCTCATCGCGTGCTCTCTCTTCTTCTGCCGGGCTTGGGGATGTTCGAGATCCAAGGACACTTCTTGATCTCCCACGCTTAAGGGGCGGGTGAAGCTCCCCGGGCACTTGGCCCACCCGTGTCTTACGGGCTTGTAAAAGGGAGTGCGGCGACTAAATTGCAAGCATTAGTATCGGCATGTCTTCAGTGTAGTACCATCCTTTTTGGGACAGTAGAATACACATTAAATTAACTCTCTCGCTTGCTTGCTGGTGGGTCAAGATCCAGCGAAGTGGACCTGCGCCTATAGGCGCCCCCGACCCTCTCAAGATCCTGAGGAAGGCTGGGGTCAGTGGACTGATTTTCAGTCCAACGGTCGGCAAGGATAGCGTACGGTTGCTGTAATCCCCCGAGCCCTGAACGTTAGCCCGCATCCCGGCCTCATCCCCGCGCCCACGCACTCACTCACTCACTCATTCACTCACTCACACTCTCTTCACTTCACTTCATGGAGGATGAGTCAAACCCGGGCCCAGGCCCCCCCTTCCCCCTATAAAGGTGGAAGAGGCTTTGGAGTCGTCATTGGACGGGTTTGCACCCATTGGTCGGTAAGGCCGGTAAAGTGCGTCTGTCGGAAAAACCCCCAGACCCTGAACTTTATCGCGCCTCCCGGCCTCATCTCCGCGCCCACCATGGCAGATCCTAGGTCCCTCGACAAATACATTCCCCCAGTAGACCCAGTGGACTGATCCTACTTCCCCGTTCAATAGGCATTCAACCAACAACTGAGTCCAGTACAATACGGTGCAAGCCACCAGGACGAAAAAGTAGCTTTGTACGTGGGTTAATGTAATCAGCTGTGGGCGCTCCCCCCTTTCGTGGAAAAGCAACACGGAACAGAACACACGGTGCAGCATTTACTACAGGGTGGGAGTCCCCCTTTGCGATCAAGGATGCCGGTTGAATTATTCTTCATCTTGTTAGAGTATGATTGGAAGCATAGGCACTGAATGAGCGGTAGCGATCGGAACAGACATCGCACAGTAGCGATGTTTTTGCACTGAGTTGCTGACTGTTGGAGCAGATCCCCCGGCATGAGGATACAGGTGTAAGTAAACTCCCCATCGTTGGTTTTGCGGGCTTGGCTTCGCAAGGGAAAAGAGGGAGAAACTGGGAGACCGGGTGCTGCCGTTTCACCAGGCACACCAGAACTAATCCAAGAGAGTTCCCCATGCCCGCTGCTTCCCGGTCCCCCCGCACCTAGTGCTGACTCACTCCTGACTACGTCGCTGGCGGCTGGCTCTCATGTGTTGTTGCACACGCTGCACTTCCCATTGCATGCTGGGTCGTAGTTACACTGGCCTTCGTGTCGGGCTCCTGCTAGGTGTTCTGGGCCTTTGCGCCCCCAGTCCGGCATTTGCCCGGTCTTCTCCCCCGTCTTCTTCACGATGCGGTCACTTTCGGAGTCAGGACTCCCCCTGTCCAAATCCTCGAGCTCGTTGTCATCACCGTCGTTGGTTGGTGGTCTGGCTGTTGCTTCCCCCTCGGCAGTGGAATTGTGTGGTGCATCACACTCGTCCTCGGCTGTTCCCCCTCTCTGCTGTCTGGCTGCGGCTGTTTTTGGCTTCACTCTTCGAGTGGCGGCTGCCGCGCTCCCCCGCTCTGTCACCGGTACCGTTCATATTCTTCCTCCTTCTCGGCTGCGCTGAGGGGTCTTCCTGTCTTGTCGTCTGTCCATTCCCCCCTTTTCTGTGCTGACTTCTCGGCTTATCCACTTGCCCAGCGGTCCTGGGAGGTAGTGCAAGCCAATCCCCCCTTTCCGCGTCATCTGTGTGAAAGGCACCTGCGTCGGTCCGGCGGTCCCCTCTCGACCTCCATCTTCTGGGGCTGCGGAGGTTTGGGTTGGGATGCCTGCCCACGCATCACCCCCACATTGCCTCGATCATTGGCTCCATGGAAGCGGCAGGCTGGATCCGTGCGCTGATGGTTTTTTCTAAACCCTTGTTGGCAGAACCCGCCCCCATATCTGCAGAGCCTGAATTCCTAGTTTGTATTTCATTATGTCCCCCTTCTTGCCCAAAACACGATCTTCCAGTTGACAATTTCCCCGCCCAGCGCAGATGTTGGGTGAGCGAAGCTTGGCCGGCGGGTCAGAAGCGCAAGTGATGAAGGGGATCGTTTCCCTGCTGCTTTAAGACGTCCAAGGTGGAGACTTTGCAGTTTTGAGGCCACGGGTCTGCAGGTAAGGTTTCGAACTTGCCGGTCACGAATATGGCTCGACCTTCCTCGGTCCTAAAAGGGCCTCTTAAGCACAGCGGCGTCAGGTATGGGACTCAAGCACCGCTGGGGAAACTGAGAAGGCTCCCCTGGAGGTACAGTTCAGGTTAAGCCCCGACCTCCCCCCCCCGATGCAAGGGGGCGCAAAGGTGCAGCACTTGAGCCAAAATGGCTACTCACACTCTCTCTCTCGCTCGCTCGCTGCAGGGGT